GAATATAATTACTTTAAGAAGATATTATTTATAGAAGAACTTAAAATAGAATTATTAGAATATAGCTAATAAGATTATAAAATCTCTATTATTAAAAGAGAAGAATCTGATTTCTATAAATTATATAATTTTATAGAACTTTAGTTATAAATACTCTATAAATATATTAATAATATATTAATAAAAAACTATATATAACTATTAACTTTATCTATAGAATATTCTATAATATTTATACTTAAGAAGAATAATAAACTCTATTTAGTTATTAATTATTAATAGTTAAATAAGATTATATATAAAGATAGAATACTCTTATTACTAATTACTAAACTTAGAAATTAGTTATAGAATAAATAGTAATTTACTATCTTAGATCTAAAGAGAGCTTATAATTTAATATAAATTAAAAAAGAAAATAAATAGAAAATAGTATTTAGAATAAAATTTAATCTCTATAAATATCTTATTATATTCTTCAGACTAATAAATATATCTATAATATTCTAATAAATAATTAATTAAATACTTTAGAAATATCTTAATATCTTTATAATTATTTATCTTAATAATATTTTAATTTTCTTTAATAATCTAAAGATATATAAGGAATATATATACTAAGTTTTAGAAAAACTAGAAAAAGTAAAACTTTTTATAAAACTAAAAAAAAGTTTTTTCTATATATAAAAAGTTAACTTTTTAGAATATACTATTTAACTAAATAAAATATAGATAGAATAAAATAAGATTACTATAGTTAAAGAATAGAAAATATTAAAATCTATTAAAAAAATATAAATCTTTCTTAGATTTATTAACTATTATTAATAATTTATTAAAAACTATAGAAAAATTATTATATCTCTATATAATAGTATTAAAAAAAAAGAGAATTTTAATAAAATAATAAATAATAGTAAGTATTTAATAAAATAAAGAACTAAATACTTTTAGAACCTATATTATAAATATTTAATTCTATATAAGAAGTAGAACTTAAGATAGATATCTTAGACTTTATAATTAGTATATAAATTAGCTAAAAAGATAATAATAAAGTATTATATCTTATAATATTCTTTTTAAAGAAACTATATAGTATAGAGCTTAATTATTCTATTTATAATAAGAAATTTATAGTTATTATATATATATTTAAAGAATTTAAATACTATTACTTAGGAATAATATATAAGATTAAAATATATATAGATTATAAAAATATTTAGTATTTTATTATAATATAGTAATTAAATAGAAGATAAATATATTATACTAAATATCTATTTTAGTTTAATTATAAAATTATATATTAAAAAGAATTAGAGAATAAAAAAGCTAATACTCTTAGTTAGAAATCTAAATATAAGAAAGTAGTATTAAAAATAAATAGATAGCTATTTTTAACTAATAATAAAGAATACTTAGTATAGAAAACTCTAGGAGCTATATTTAAGGAAATAATATATATTAAAGTCTAGATAGAAGCTATTTCTAGTCTAGAAAAGTTATAGTAAAATACTAAAATAATACTTATTAAGGAAATCTATAAATATCTACTCTTAGAATACTAAGAAGTTAAGAAAATATTTAATAAGATTAGATAATATTATAATTATCTAAATCTAAGAAAGAATATATAGATTATAGTTTTAGAATATAATACTTATATAAGAATTAAATCTATATAATATAAACCCTATAGAGAACTTAAACTAATTTTAATATTAGAATAATTATAGTAATTAGTATTCTTTAATTATATTATTAAATTATTACTATTTAAAGAACTAATAACTAGAATAGAATATAATAGTATATTAATAATTATTAATAGACTTATAAAATATAGATATTTTATTCTATATAAGAAAGTAAGCTTTATAGAAGATTTTATATATTAGTTTCTATAATATATAGTTAATTACTATAGATTATTTAATAAAATAATATTAGATAGAGGAATAATATTTATCTCTAAGTTCTAATAATTATTAATAGTATAAATAGATACTAAATATAAGCTTTTAATAGCTTACTATTCTTAAAGTAATAGTTAAATAGAATAACTAAATTAAACTCTAGAATAATATCTATAAGTATATATTAATTATAAATAAAATAATTAGATATAATTACTATTTATAGTATAAATTATATATAATAGCTTAGTATAAGAATTTACCTAGTTAATATCTATATATATAAATTATAATTATAAACTATAATTTTAGAATTAACTAGAACTTAATAGATCTAATATACTAACTACTATATTTATAAAAGAAATATTATATTTACTATATATAGAAATAAAAATAGAACTTAAATTTATTTAATAAAGAATAAAAAAATATTATAATAAAACTAGATTAGAAGAACTAATTTTAGAGAAGAGAGATAAGATCTATTTACTTTATAAAAATATTATAATAATAAGATTAAGTAATAAATTAGATTATAAAAAACTTAAACTATTTAAAATTCTTAAGAAAAAATTAAATACTAACTATAAACTCTTATTACTAGATATAATATATATTTATCTAGTTTTTTATATCTTATTACTTAAAAAAGTATTAGATAATATACTAAATTAAGAGTATCTAATTAAAATCTATAAAAAGAAATTTAAATTAAAAGAGATTTTAAAAAAGAAAGTTAGAAATAGATAAATATTCTATCTAGTTAAATAGAAAAAGTATATTAATAATAATAATATATAGAAACTAGTTAAATATCTAAAGAAATATTAATACTTAATTTACTAGTTTTATTAGAAAGAAAAAGAAAAACTAAATTAGAAAAATTCTTTTTAAAATCTAATAAATTTAAATCTGTTTTAAAGATAACCTCTAAGAACTAGACTTCCTCTAAGATATATTACTTAAAAGCCTTAAGAAAGTTAAAAGCTTAATCTAAAGATAATTACTTTTCTTTATTAAGCTCTTAGAGATTATACTGAATTTCCTACTATACTTTACTCTTAATATAACTATATACTTTATAAATATACTAGATATATCCTAAGATAATAGATAGATTACTTTAGAGTTAAGTTATTTATTAATATAAAAGAAGGATTTTCTTATCTATATTAAATTCTTCTTTAGCTAGTTTTTTCTACTATATTATTAATTTTTCTATTAAAAAAGAAATTAGAAGAATATACTTAGAATATATAAGAGAATATATATAGTTAGATATAATTAGTATTCTATTATAATAATAACTATTTTATATATACTTATTATATTAGAATAACTTTTTATTTAAAAGAATAAAATACTCTTTTTTTATCTTAAAATATAAAATATATAATATATTAGCTAGAAAACTAAATATCTAGATAGTAATAGTAAGAAGAACTTATTTATAAATCTTTAGATATACTAACTTATAGATATAGTTAGATATAATAAATATTATAATATAGTTATTATATATAAAGAAAGAAAGAACTTATTAAGATTATATAGAATCTTAAGAATAAAACTAATAGAGAGAGAGTATTATATTATAAATAAAAACCTTTATAATAGATTATATAATTATATATACCCTACTATTTAAAAAATAGAAATAATAAAAATATTATACTTTTATTATAGAATAAAAATAGATTATTAGGAGTAATATATTTCTTATACTCTATAACTATTATATATATATATTTATTTCTTAAGTAGAAATACTTCTTTAGATAGTTATTAATATAATTATCTATATATCTATTATTACTAGCTCTATAATACTTATATATTAATAGTAATTTATATTATATAGCTTAAGATAACCTGATTATACTACTCAGAATAATACTCTGACTAGTTTAACCCCAACCTACCCTAGACCCCGTCCAGTATAAGTCATCCAACCATCACACAGGGCTGGGTTAGTATATCCTGCAGCTATATTTCCATCTATATTAGTAATTCTTAAAGACCCGAGAGAGAAAATAATAGAGAGAGCGCCTCTCCTTGCTTTATATAGAGGTTAATAATATTATATATCTAGGTTAGCAAGATCAGCCAGTCTATAACTTCAGGCGGTATAGATAAGCGATAAATATTATATTAAAAGGGGAGAGATAAAAGTATTTTTCTATTCTGTTTATAGTAATACTAAGAAAGTAACTGCAAATAGGGTATATACCGAAAGGTGTATAGTAGGAAAGCTAATATATCGTCTTGCAAATTGTTATTTGGTAAAGCGTCAGTTAGCAAAGCATTATTTAGCAAAGCGTCATTTTCAGATAATAAGCATCTAACCTGACTAATTACATGGTAGTCTTTTTTATTTATCTAAATGAATGGATCAGATGTGATTGGTCTGCTACAGGTAGCCAGATTAGTAGTCGGACCGAGAATACTTAAGGTCTTAGTCTAGATATAGGAGCGCGCTAGAATAGATTGAAAACTACCTTGAACTTCCAGCTTTAAAACGGACTAGTGTATTATAGTGGCACCAGAGAGTGGATAAATCGGATCAACAACCCCCTGGGCTTCGGCAGCTGATGTTTAGATTGACAAGCGGTGAGTCATAGCAGAATAGAAAGGCTTGGACGAAAATAGGCCCTGGCTCGTCGTATTGAACCTCGGCTGCTCACTGCTTAATGACTGAGTTACACTCGGAGCGCGCTATGCCTTTTTTGAGCGCGCCGTAGCCTCTTCGGTTGCCTAGGCCATTCGCCAGGTTCCCCGTTTGTATCAGCGACTCTCGCGGCGGAGTCACGACGCGTCAACCCAGGCAACGCGACTCTACCACTATCAGTAAGTACTTCGTTGCCCCTTGACTCTTGAAGTAGACTAACTTTCCTTCTCTAGTACCGACCAGTATTCGATTTCCACACTCTTGGACGATGCCATGAGTGCTCTTACGGACACGGAAAAGCTGCTGCAGCGTTTACGAGAGGCAGAGGCGAGAGCTGGAGATCCCCAGCTGCACTTTTTATTATTTATTAGTACGAGACACAGCAGAGAGCAGGTCAAGCCAAGATGTGGAGAGAGGATCAAGTCGTATGGCCTCCATACTGGACGCCAACGCCTCTTCCTGGTACGCAGGATGACCTGCCCTTGGCTGCAACCCTCAATAAAAGCGAGAACAATACTCAGAAAGACAGCCCTCTGTTCCGTCTCTCCCCCGAGATCCGAGTGCGCATCTACGACTTGGTTCTACAGACTGTCTGCGACCAAGACCGGGCATTTACGGACAGGAGTCTCTTCAAGAGGCCCAATCTAACCGGCCCCCGGCGCATCTACACGGCGCTGTTGCGGACATGCCGCGCTGTGTATGCGGAGACTTGGGCACTGCCCCTAATAAATACCTCGTTGGTCATCCACGAAGGCTCTGACGAGGATCGCCCTCCGAACAGGCCACATTCGATCATGTGTCCGAACAAGCGGCTCTTTTACCTACAGGCATGGCAGCTTCTCTTGATAGGAGGCGTTGATATGACATTCCAGCAGATCAGACTCGAGAACAGGGGCATAGAGGAGTGGCTGCGCCGCCTTCACCACGCCAGGGGCCATGCGCGGGAGATCGTACGCCGCGTAGCCAGTGAGAAGCACCCAGGGAGCGAATCTATCAAAAGCTTTGTCGAAGACAGTCTCATTGGCGTCAGGATACGCGCTCTCACGGTGAGAGTGAACCGTCGCGACTGGTGGAACTGGACGAATGATCCCTCGACCAATTCGCCCGAGCAGCGCGCCAGCCGAAAAAGAATGATTCGCGTGCTGCAGCCAAACACGCCGCATGACTTTGGACCGTATGCCAATGGTGACAGCGAACCTCTTCTAGGCGAAGACTGCACAATATCATTCGTACTGGAGACTTTTGGCCCCAAAGCGGAAGAGCTAGACTACACAGTCAACCAGGCTAAAGACTGGGTCTTCAGCATCCCCTCACTCTCGCAGGAGGGACAAAATAGGCGTATCCTGGGATGGGATGGTCAAGTTCTCAATGAGAGTTGGGAACGAACCGTCAACGAGCCTCATATTGCCTGGCTACGGAAGCCGGTCTATAGTGCAATCAGGAACCGGGTTGAGGTACGAGTTATTCGATTTCTACCGAAACTAGCGCAGGATTAGGATATGCATTTCTTAATATACTCAAACACACTTTACATGATCAGCAGTGATGACAATGCCCTAGCGGAGGACCATTTACTCTCGGCTCAAATGCAGACTAGTTTATACAGAAAGCGCCCAATCTTCCACCCTCAGCATCCAGTCATCCCATCCATGATAATATAATAGCTTGCAGCGGCGCTGTTCCACTATGGTTTATTTGCAGAAACTACGCTTGCATTGCCAGCCTTTGTTACAGTCATCATCAGAGCTGCAGCGACGCTATAGAGACCTTAATATTGGCCTCTCTCTCTACCTTTATACCACAACAGTCCCATGGCCTTACCTTGTGTTTCAAGTTCTTGGTTATTGCTCGCGTGAAAAGTTCTCGCTTTTGGTAGGCGAAAACATTGGCGTAGGCGACGATGGCTCCACGGCGTGCTAGGTTGTTAATCTCATCAAGGTCCCGCTGATCCAGTTCGGTACCTGGATCAGTGGTGACTGCGGCTAAGGTGAGGGCAAGGAAAGAGAAAATAGCAGCCAAGCGTATTATGATTACTCGAGTTACAAAAACTTCGGCAAAGGGGTCGTCGGTTGATAAAGAGATGAACTTCGGAAACATAGGAGAGCCATTACGAGGTAGCTGAATAATTTATATTTACAGATCTCCTATTAAAGAGAGCTGATTGCTATTAATATGTATGTCCTCTCCAGGGATCAGTTGATTATAACGCAAAGAGAGCTGAGGAGACAGAGGCGTACACCAGCACAGTCGTAGCAACACCCCTAGTCTGTCAAATTTTCAAACTGTAGTACGGAAGGTTGTCAATCGACAGACCAGTGGGGTCATTGAACTGCATTGTATCTTACTAAGGGTTCATGTTCATGTCTGCTTGAACTAAGTCAATCTTTGATAAGCGTCCTCGCTTCTCGTTATCCTTGCATACGATGAGATGTAATTGGAAAAGCGATCCGCAAAGCAAGGGTTTTAGACATCACTGCTTTGCATGAATCTTTTCACCAAATTGTCGAAGTAATTGACCGACTTCATTGTCTAACTACGACTCTATGTGATATTTGATCACCTTACTTGCAGGTGGCTCACAGAAGGGCCTGAAGGCCGACTAGTCGATAAAATTTCTATTGATAAAATAACGTCATCAAGTTTTGATTTATAGTTTGGCTTTTTCCATGTCTCCTGTTTGGTGTTGCGTTATAGAAGACATCCAGTCTTTAACCACCCGGGCAAATTTGTCCACCTCTTCGATTGTATTGCCCGCATGAACGCAGATTCGAACCCTCTCCGTGCCCTTTGGCACCGTTGGAGGTACGATGGGACGAACAGTGATGCCGTTTTGGCCACAATACTGGGCCAATTTGCGAGGCTTGGAGGTGAACAGGGGGATGATGGGCGTGGCTGGTGTTTCTGTCCTGACACGGAGGAGAGTCGGCGAAACTCTGCCCTCGGCGCAAATGAACAGGAGCCGACGGTGCATTCGTTGGACGAGTGTGCGGAGTCGCCGGAGGAGAACGTCGGATGAACCACTGGCCAAGAAATCATATACTACCCGGATGCTGGCGAGGTTGGGGAATGACATAGCCGTTGTATAGATAAGTGTCCGAGCATAATTGACGAGATATTCGCGCACAACCGGGGAAGATAGGACGATGGCTACAACGCTTGTCAATGCAAGTCTCCTCAGCATTCAATTGGGGATGATAACGGGTTTCTTACCTCCTGATGCGCCAATTGCTTTGCCAAAGGTGTGAACGCGGGCAAAGATGTCCTTTTCCAAACCCAATTCGCAGACCAACCCTCGACCATTCTGGCCAAATAGGCCAGTAGAATGCGCTTCATCCACAATGATGTACCCATTTCCATGCGGTAACCGTTGCCTCACCGTGTTAACAATTTCTAAGAGCGGTGCGATGTCACCGTCCATGCTATAGACGCTCTCCACTGCCACGAATACTGACGCCTTCCCTTCTTTGATGGTCTGGCCATAATTGCCGGAAAGAACTTTGTAAAGAACTTCATCGAGGCTTGGTAGCGATACAGGATTGACCTGCGACTCTGATGTTGCGTGGACCATATTGTGGCTGAAAGGCAATCGTTGAGCAGCACGACTCTGCCTCATCCCGTCATGAGCACTCGCATGAATGAGCTCATCATGTATGAAGATATCGCCAGGCTGTGGCAAGCAGCTCAGAAGCCCGACCTGAGCATCAAAGCCGGAGTTGAAGAGCAGCCCTGCAGGTGCGCCATGGAATGTAGCAATATCACGCTCAATTGACTCGGTAAATGTTGAATTTCCATCCAGAAGACGAGAGCCACCGGAACCGAGAAAAGTAGACGAGATCACAGATGATTGTTGGGAAGCATGGGCCTGTACAAGCTCGAGGAAGGATTTCCGCAGTTCTGGGACATCTGAGAGGGACAGGTAAGAATTGGACGAAAAGTCTATGTTGCCAGAAGGGTTGATTGTCAACCGCCGCAGTCGAGATTGTAACTCCCGTTTGGCGAGCTTGGCGGTCAGAGCCTGTTCCAGCCCGGAGGGTGGTTTGATGTCCATGAGCAACCGGTTGGCAACTCACTCCTAGGCAGGAATATGAGAGAGAATTCCAGGGGAATGAGCTGAAATTAAAACTGACGAGATCCTGCCGGCAAGAGCCGATAACCGGCTAGCGGACCGAACGCGGGGTTTGAGGAAAGCTAGGTTAGCGGATGGCAATGTCACTCTGCGACGATCCCTGCCAGGGGTGATCTAAATGTTGAGGGCTTTTTTCTTCTTGCCGAATGAAACAGAATCAAGCCTCTTAAAAGCTTCTCCTTTCTCAACTTTGTCTTTGTTGGTTCTCTTCTTTCATTCGCGCAGCCCGTCGATCACCAACAGTGAGCAATGGCGCCCATCGAGTCTCTGCTCTGGCGTCGACTGCGGATTCACCAAATATACGGCGCAAACACGGACGTAGGGAAGACCATCTTCTCCACCTTCCTCTGTAATGCCGCGTCTAACCATCGAGGTGGTGCCGACAGGGTGGCCTACCTGAAACCTGTCTCAACGGGACCAAGGGATGAAGCAGATTCCAAGTGTGTGTAAAACTCCAACAGCTCACGATCAAATAGAGAGAACTCTTGCTTATTGATATCCAGATGATTGAGACCTCAATTGGCATTTGAGAGATTGTTAACAGAAGTGATCTTTTTGTAGCCACATCAAGAGATTCGCGCCCTCCACCAGCACCGAGGTTCTTTATCAGTATGACATTCCCTGCAGCCCTCACACGGCCGCAATTGCGTCGGGAAGAGTAAGTGGACTTTTGCGGTGGTTGAATCAATACACATTCTATTGAGTGCTTACAAACATAGCCAATTCCGTCCGACCATGCCCTGCTACGCAAGATTCAAGAAGCAGCCGCGCGGCAGGCTGAGCTGGGGCCTGGCTGGCTGTTCCTGGAGACTGCTGGTGGTGTTCACTCCCCGGGCCCTTCTGGCACATCGCAGGCCGAGCTGTATGCTCCTCTCCGGAGCTCAGTCCTCTTGGTTGGTGATTCCAGACTGGGAGGCATCTCTCAGACCATTTCTTCCTATGAGTCCTTAAAGATTCGCGGCTATGACGTAGCAAGTGTGCTGCTGTTCCAGAATGACCAGTATAACAATGATGGATACTTAGAAGAGTACTTTGACAAGCAGGGCAAGATTCCTGTCACGACAATCCCTGGACCGCCTGCTCAGCACAGTAACCGGGATGAGGATGTAATGGCTCTGGCTGCCTACTACAGCCACACAGGCTCCTCCAACAAGATCGGCAAGGTTGTCGAGACTCTAGACAAGCTTGCCCAAGATCGCATCTCTCAACTCGAATCAATGAGCGAGCGGGCGTTCAAAACCATCTGGTACCCTTTCACCCAGCAAAAGCTTCTATCTCCTGGCTCCATCTCTACTATTGACTCCGCCCATGGAGACTACTTCCAGATCTACAAATCTCAAGACACAGCAAAATCATCCAATAAGCCACTTATCCAGCCTGCTTTTGACGGATCTGCTTCGTGGTGGACGCAAGGCTTAGGCCACGCAAGCTCCCAGTTGACGTTGGCCGCCGCCTACGCGGCAGGTCGCTACGGACACGTCATGTTTGCCGAGGCAGTTCACGAGCCGGCCATTGCCCTGGCTGAGAATCTGCTGCGAGGCATGCAGAATCCACGGCTCACGCGCGCCTTTTACACCGATAACGGAAGCACGGGCTGTGAGGTCGCCATCAAGATGGCATTGCGCGCCAGCCGTGACAGGTACGGGTGGGATGTGAAAGACAAGATTGAGATCCTTGGCCTCAAGGGGAGCTACCACGGTGACACCATCGGAGCCATGGACGCCAGCGAGCCTTGCACGTTCAACGAGAAGGTGGACTGGTACCAGGGCAAGGGTTACTGGTTTGACTATCCCACCGTCAACTGTACCAATGGGAAATGGGTCGTCCATGTCCCCGAGCCTCTTCGTGAGCACTTGGGAGATGGTGAAGAATTCGAGTCTCTGTCCCATGTCTTTGATGTTTCGTCCAGGTCAAAAACTGCGGTGCTGCAAATGTACGAAACCTATGTTCGGCTTGTGCTCGAGAGGCTCGGTAAGCAAGGCCACAAATTTGGTGGCCTCATGATGGAACCGGTTATTCTCGGTGCCGGCGGTATGATCTTTGTGTAAGTGATATCTTCCCACCACGCAGTCAGCCCACTGACACCTCCCATAGCGATCCCCTGTTCCAACGGGCACTTGTGAATGCAGTACGCAAATCTACACACCTCATCGGCAATGCGCATGCTCAACCCACTGGTGAGAACGATTGGTCCGGCTTGCCCGTCATTCACGATGAAGTCTTCACTGGCTTGTACCGCCTGGGCCGATTCACCCCGTCGTCTTTCCTGGGTGTTCACCCGGATATCACAGTCCATGCCAAGCTTCTAACCGGTGGTCTTCTCCCTCTTTGTCTTACATTGGCATCGGACTCAATCTTCAAGACCTTTGAATCCGATGACAAAAGTGATGCTCTCCTTCACGGACATAGCTACACCGCTCATGCTATCGGATGCAATGTTGCTGTAGAGACTCTAAACGAACTGCAAACCATGGATACGAGAGGTGACTGGAACTGGGCCAGGAATAGCAACTGGAGGGAAGGCCCTGTTCCAAGCTCATCCCAGGACAATGCAGCTCTTCCAGAAGCATGGTCCGTCTGGTCTCGGGATTTTGTAACCGAGGTCTCGAAGAGGACAGATAAAGTGTCTGGCGTCTGGGCGCTTGGCAGCGTCCTCGCCATTACTATGCGCGATGCAGATGGGGGTGGGTACAAGAGTAAGGCGGCTACTAATTTCCAGGCGGCACTAAAACAAGGCGAGGCGTGGAGTGTCCACAGCCGTGTTCTAGGAAACGTGTTTTATATTATGGCGAGCCAGAAGACTAGCCAGGAAACAGTTGAGGAGATGGAGAGAAAACTGCTCTATTGCTTGGAGAAAATATAATCTATTTGTAGTGGCAAATCACTACTTGAGGCTATTAGATCGATATATAAAAGGGTTTGAAGGAAGCAAAATTTTGATTTTTGATTTTCTTAAATATGTTTTGACAGTCAACCAATGTGGCCCTTCATGATGCCATCGGCTTCATAGGATACTTTTTCACCAGGTACAACCCAACCAAAGTCAGCACAATTTCCAGACCAAAGAACATGGTCGCCATCTCATATCCGATGGGAAAGTGAGGCGCCTTGCCAGTGTCATAGATCAAGAGCGGGACCCAGGCCTGGAAGGTGAAGGCAGCTGTCTCGACAATGCCAATGACAATGGCTCGATGCTCGGCCGAGTAAGACAGAACTTCGTTGATCCAGGTGATGATGAGCGCGCCTGCTCCAGTCTCGACAAACGTCAGTAGCCAGCCAGTCATCATGGCGGGGATGTTTCCCGCCGGCCACACAGACAAGATGATGGTTCCAATCATTGCGAAGATGCATGCCACAACTATCAAGGGCCAGCGCATCTGAATAGCATCCGACACCCATGCGTACGAGAGCGTGAAGCAAATTTGGAGCCCGTACCCAGCACTCGGTATGATATTGATCTCTTCGACAGACCAACGCTTTGTGTCCTTCAGCCACAGGTTGAAGTAGGAGTAAATACGGATACCCAGGACATGACAAATGAAGATGGAGCAGAAGAGATAGACTGGCCATGTTGAGACGATGCGCTTCCAGATCGGCAAGGTCAGCTTCTTCATGGGCGCGCGGCCAACCTGTTCCATCCGAGAAATGGCCATCTTCTTATCCTCCTCCTTGAGCCACACAGCCTTGGACGATTGCGGCGTGTCTGGGATCGCCCAGTATCCGTAAATTGCAACGGGAATTCCAATGATGCAGTCAAAGATGAACAGCCACTGCCACGCTTTGAGGCCGCTGCGTCCATCCATGCCGGCGTACAGAGCAGCTTGCAGATATCCTGAAAACATCTGAGCCGCAGACGAAGAAGCCTGGAAAATGCACGCGCGCTTCCCCAGCTCCCTAGGCGTATACCAATTGCCAAGTAAGGTCATGATGCCCGGGTACGCGGTAGCTTCGAGCAAGCCAATGAAGAATCGCAGGACGCAAAGTGTCTTGACATCTTTAGCGCCAGCCATTCCAGCAACAAGAAAACCCCATGCCAGCTCTGCTGAAGGAAGCCACACGGATGGACGGATCTTAGTGATGATGATCTGAGACGGGAGCTGGCCCACGATATAGCCGATATTCCAAAATGTGAGGAGCAGATTGAGGTCGTTGCCTGTCATATTGAGGTCTTCCTTCATACCCGAAACGTATGCATTGCTAACCTATAAGAAAGAACTCATGTCAGGGTATTCCCAAGGTTTGCCACGATTTAATGGTTACTCACATTTGTCTGGTCCAGGTACTTGACAAAGTAGGCAACACAGCAGTATGTCAGAATCCACCAATCAATCTTGGCCATAAACTTGCGTTCCTCGGGAGGCTTGTCAAAAGAGTCCCAGATGATACCTAGGAGCCGTTTCTTTCGAGAGAGGCGTTGGCTGTGCTCCATCGTAGTCGAGCTCGCAGCTTCATCTACAATAACGGTCCTATCCTTCTGGTTTGAAGGCGGGTCCCGGCCGACAACGATGTCAGTGTGTGTCTCCATCTTGCTTGATCCTCAACGTGATATCTGGAGGGGCTTGCTGGATCAGGTCAGACAGGTAAAGCGAGAAGACTGGCCTCGGACCCAATGCCTAATAACGTTTTCGAAAAGTGAATTTCTGTCCGTTTTAAACCCATTAGCTCATGATAGTCGATTCAAACGTTTCGTCAGGGAACTTCTTCGCAATCGACTAGGGCGATGGCGAATCTCGTCACTAACCAATAATCTCCACGGATATAAGCACTTGTCGGATCCAGTCCGACACGTCGGAAGCCGTTGTCCTGATACTTTTTCCTCCTTTGGTAAGTTTTGTCGGACGGATGGCCGATGTCAAGGTTCAAATAGCCCGATGTGATGACAAAGTGCTTGAGTCGTGATCTCTCTCATCCTCATATAAGTGGCGAGTGAAATATGGCGGGATAACCTGTCGCAGTGAGCCCGATTCTCACCCCGACATCATCATTCAGCTTTTTCTTCTTCTTTTAGGCAATATCGTAGACGCCAGTCTCATCACCACCTCTCAAGCCCAAGCATGCCAACTGAGACAGAGGCCTTGGATATTTACAAGTCGTCCATCCACTTCGATGGCCTCAACATAGCCGACTTTTCTCGCGAGATCTTCGAGGCCTGGCACGCCGGCGGCATCACCGGTGTGTCTTGTACCTGCGGGCTCTGGGAGGGTCTCCGGGGGAGCCTTGCCAATGTCGTCCAGTGGAAGGAGTGGTTCGAGGAGCACTCTGACCTGATCGTGCAGGCGCACACTGTCGCCGATATCCGTCGTGCCAAGGAGTCCGGCCGCACCGCCGTGTTGCTCAGCTGGCAAAACACAGCTGGCATCGAGGACCAGCTGTCCTACCTGCGTGTCTTCCGCGATCTGGGTGTCCGCAAGATGCAGCTGACGTACAACACGCAAAACTACAGCGGCGCTGGGTACACGGAGCTGAGGGACTCTGGGCTGACTGGGTTTGGAAGACAGGTGGTGGATGAGATGGCCAAGCTGGGGATTGTCTGCGATCTAAGCCATGTCGGACCTCAAACCAGCGAAGATGTCATCAACTATGCTCCTGCGGGCAAACCACCCTGTTTCTCGCACGTGCTTCCGGGAGGACTGAAGGAGCATCCGCGGAACAAGGACGACCGCCTGATCAAGCTGATCGCCTCCAAGGGTGGTTTCATCGGCCTCAGCCAGTTTGGTCCGCACATGGCAAAGGGCAACGACAGCACCATTGACGACTATGTAGACGCCCTCGACTATGTCATCAGCCTCGCGGGAGAGGATCTCGTGGGCATCGGCTCCGACGCGAGCGAGGGCCACGGACGCCCGAGCGACTTCATGGCATGGTGTAACAAAGACAAGGGGTATGCGAGGCAGCTCACCCCATGGGGGAGTCAGAAGGTTGTGAAGCCTCTCGGTCCGCTGGCCGACCGGGCTCAGCTGGCTGTCGCGATGGCGAGGAAGGGATGGAGTGAGGAGAAGATGAGAAAGGTGCTAGGCGAGAATTGGTTGAAATATCTCGAGAGAATTCTAGGAGAATAAAAAAAACTGAAACTTTCCATGTTCAGTCAAGCCTTGAATGCATTGATAAACTGCGAACTTTGAAAAAGGAAGGCTCGCTTGTATCTGACATGTTTCAGGGGGAAGGTATATTGACTCTATGGACATTAGACCTGAAGAGCAACGCCCTCTTTCTATGCCATTTTAAACAGTAGAGTTATCCTTCCACTTCTTGATAATAATCTCGGCAGCCTAAGAGTTTGTTAGTAACCATGACTTCCTTTAGCATAGAAACAAGTTGTAGTCAAGGGATGACTGACCTTCTCGCCAATAGCATACGCCGTGGTGGTAGTATGTGCGGCCGGGATGGTGGGAATGATAGAGCAGTCAGCAACGCGAAGACCATAGATGGTGTAGACTGAGAGACTTGAGTCCACGACGCCGCCCTTCTCGCGTGGAAGCATGGCAGCCGTGCAGCAAGGGTGCATGAGTGACTGGACGACGTTGTCCTTGACGTACTCAATAAGAGCGTCGTGAGTAGTCACATTCGCGCCGGGCGCGACCTCGACGGCACCGAGCTCCTGCCACGTATCGGTGGTGTAGATACGGCGGAAGTAGTCGACGTAGGTGGCCATGATCTCGAGGTCGATGGGGTTGACGCCGGTGGCGTAGTTGACGATGGGAGTGGCATCGTGGTCATCAGAGTTCAAGACGCCGGAGCCACGGCTGAGAGGCTTGAGGAGGAAGGCGATTGCAGGGCCAGTATGGAAGGGTATCTCAAGGATGGGGTGTTCAACGTGCTCGAGAGCCTTGGCAATGATCTCGAGCTGCGCGAGGTAGCCCTCCTGGATAGACTCGGCAGTCGTGGCAGGGAGATGGCCGAGGGCAGAGCGGTCCTCGATCTGGGCGCGGATGTTAGCGACGATCTGCTCCCACTGAGGTGTACGTGCTGCAGGGCAACGTAGGCAGGGCGCTCGCGGAACTGCGCGACAGCCTCTGCAGCGTACGTTGCGTTGTTAGTGATGTCTGCCTCGCTGGGTGAGGGCTCATCATAAGACCAGGTCAGGGGGGTGCCGCAGTGATCCTGGAAATTCTGGCCAACACCAGGAAGATCCTCACCAAGATCAATGCCCTCGGACTTGAGGTACTCGGCAGAGGCTACGCCGCTGCGCTGGAGGATCTGAGGTGTGTGGATGGCACCGGCCGACAATATAACTTCATGCTTGGGGCGGATGGTCTCAATTTCGCCGCCAGCAACGGGTCGAAACTCGACAGCGGGTGGTGCATCACTGTCCTTGTCGATAATGAGGCGCGTAACTTTGTGCTCAACAAGGAGGTGGAGGTTAGGGAGGGAATCAGCGATCCTGGTATAGTGACCGACACCAGCGTGGGATCGTTCGACGGCTTCAGAGTTCTGGGCCGTGGGAACCCAGCAGATACCATGCTTGTTCCCATCATCGGAGCTAACGGGGGTCTCGAGACCGAGCTCCTCGTACGCCTTCCACCCGACGCCTAAGAAGAAGATTAGTGTCTGTAACTGCAGGGAGACTGAAGTAGATATGAGAGGGGAGCGACATACTTTGGACAGGCCACTGGAAGGGTGGGAAAGAGGCTTGAATGGAGTCACCGGTATAATAGGAGGTATCCCAGGTGTAGCCGTACTCTTCTACAAGCCCGTCGTTAGGCTCGGTAAGGAATAAGGACTAATAAAGTGAGGTTAGAATGAAGGATCTGCATTGACAGGGGGTTCCTGCGCGAGAACAGCCAAGGGACAGCACTCGCCTTGCTGAAAGCGGGCCAAAAGTTCTCCCCGTCCCAGATGTCGGTGGTGTTATCAAATTCGGGGCTTCCAAGTCGCGTCCACTCATCATAATCGTACCTAGAGCCACGATCCAAAAACTGACCATTGACGGCGGATCCCCCACCAACAGTCATGCCTAGGACGACGGTAGCAGAGCGATTGTTAACACTGGCAACGGGAGGGGAGTTTATGACGAGGCGGCTGGCACCACGGCCATCCTCGGGCGGGTCGAAGTAGCCAACAGTCCCCTCAATCTTGCCAAAGTCGATCACGAATACGGACTCTAACACATCATGTAAATACACTAGCCATGATCTATTTTCTCGAAAGGGGCATTCACAAGCTCACTCTGCGGAAAGGCGGCCGATACTCGGTGGGCAACAGTCAGACCGGCGGTACCACCACCAACGATAACAAAGTCATACTCCTCCGAGCTGGTGGCATGTTTTTTGGTAAAGGCACGAGCGCGGCTAGGAGAGGCTTCAACAACACCGAGAATGGACGCACCAACAGAGAAAGCCTTGGTGAGATGCATCTTTTAATAAGAGCAAAGACAATATATGTGTTATGTGGAGAGAATAAATCCCTGATGCACAAGGATGCTAAATGATGGTTTCCCTCAATGGAACAGTACCAAAGCACCTGCCTAATTAGAAAATCAGCTGAATCTTTTCGCTATGGAAGAGAACCTCCGAAAGGCTCTCTTCTGTTTGTCATAGGCTAAATCCTCAAATTCATTCCATGTGAGGCCCACCTCATTATGTCGCAGCCAAAATGTGTCACTGCAGAGAACGAGGTCGCAGAAGTCATGGCTGTTAGTGTCCGGTGCCACTGTCCTACTCGGGATGTGGCATTTTCTAGATATTAGTTGGGAACTTCTTGTCAAACCGAACACACCGAACTGGGGATGTCTAGAAGCCTGGTTGGAGATATGCGAGTCTGCTTATTACTTAGAACGAAAATTCAAATTAAACTAATTACCACTATTACCACTCTTCATCCTTTCGTTGCTTTGTCGAAACCACAGGTCCTTTCCATAGTGGGGGCTGACTCCCGTTATGATCACTGTGTTCATCCGGGTTGGACTGCAGCTCTACACCGTCGTCACGCATGAAGGTGGTAAGACTGAATGGGCCCCTCCGCGATCTCTTGGATGACGAGAACTGGCCGATGGTGGCGGGCGGCGATTGAACTGGGTCCACGAGTTCCGTGGGGCCGGACCACGAAATCCCAAGCGAATTCCCGATTGTTCGTAGAAGGGGACGAAGGGTGGCGAGGCTTCCTGCTGTGATGGCGAGGCCCTGCTCGGTAGTTGACCAGATTGCAATGTCGAGAGTGGCCCCTTACGTCTGTTAGCCTTGAAAGGAATGTGAAAGGGGTATAGGCTTACAGAGAAAGTCTGGGTTCTTAAAATCTTTGATATAAGGGAATCGAACGAGGACAGCGGCACTGGCTCTGTACGGCTGTCAATATACTGCCCATTCCATAAGCCCTTGCTAGAGTTACTTACACGCATCCCATGGCCATGATAGGGAATAGGGCGAATTTCGTTCTCTTGTTCATGTTGAGCTTCCAGATAATGAACATAGGGAGGAAGGCAAAGGTAAAGTCACAGATGACGCTGAGGACGCTGTAAAGATATGTGAGGGCCATGATAACTTCGGGGTCGACACACGTGCCCCCCGAGACACTCTTGTCCCAAAAATACCAAACGGGGTTGCACTGAAAGAGCGTGACGAAGAAGAAAACGGCGCCGGTCATGACGGTAATAACCATGACAATGTAGATGATCCAGACGTGTAGTCGTCGAAGGGTGATGCGAAGCAGGAAGCTGCCAATAGATAGTTTTGATGCCATCATCGAGAGACAGTACCATAGATAGCATAACCACCAATACTTTTCTCGTCCGTTAGGGAGATTCTTTCTAAAGGAGACGGAGATTGACAAACTTTGAGCGCAATTTCAATTTCATGGGGCTCTAGGTCTTTGTGATGTCGCCCAGTGCCAAAGGCAACGCCTACCAAAGCACATCCAACAAATAATCCAAAATTTATCTGGTACACAGTCAGTTGGAGTTAGGGGTCAGATTCCAAGTCAAAGAAGAACTTACAAGAGCGAACAGCATGCACCAATCATCAAATCCAAAACTCTTTACCATAAATAATCGCACATAGCATCGTAAAAGGGTTGAAAAGATTGCAAAGGAAACGAGCGTGATGCCCACTGCCTGCAGCTCGGGGCCTCGATTTTCGACTGCCATTGCTATCTGTCTTGTCCCTGAGTGGAGGCCGGGAAAATCGACATGAGGACGGGAGGTCTTTGATCTTCGCGGGAGGGTCTGAGATTTATTAAAGAGCATGGCATGATTTACGTTCGCCTTGGAGACATGGGTGGTCTAGCCCCCTCGCCCCCCCCTTGCCCAAGCCTCCTACGACATAAAGAGACGAGATGAATCCACAACACCATCACAAAAGGCTCCGCCTTGCGTTGGAGCCTAACATTCCGTGCGAATGTGGTTGGTGGTGACCTCGGTGAATGAAGTTCGCTTGCCGTCAAAACTCCACCACAAAAAACCGCCATGTAACAGTCGGAAGGGGCCAATATCTCGTTGTGGATGCCAACTTCTCCACCCAACGTACCGTCCACGAATGATGTTCGGCAGCTAATTTGGCAAGACGCTTTTACCGTCGACTGGCTCAGGTTGGTACCTGGCGACGCGGGGAATTTATGCCCAAGCCGAGTGAGCCATGTGTGCAGATCTGTCCCTATCGATCCAGGAAAGGGCCGATCCCATCACTCTGGGTAGGAACTGCAACCATGTATGCGCATCTAAATGGCTCGCCAATGATCGGGATCGGGCCTGTCGAGTCAGGGCATGATTCTGGGCAACTTGGGCGTACGGCGATTCGAGACGATGGCAAGATGGTTCGATTCCCCAAAGAATGACAGACTAGGGAACGACTGCTGTTTCTTGACTCTAGTCTGCGCCAACTGAGACAGCCACGGTCGATGATTGAGGCCAAACCATGCCGCATGGAGTTATTTCCCCGTCCCAATCTGGCAGACAAACTCACTAGCCGGGAGTGACCCTTTCGCTTCCGCGCCGAGGTCTCCACGTTGCCAATGCCACGCCCCCGGTGCATCCGCTAATGCTTCATGTGACAATCTCAGACATTCCCCTTGAGAAGCAACACTGCCAACGGAGCTTTTTTTCCTATGGCCCAAGCCTAGCGTTCCAGTGACCAAATTTGCCCGACTCTCCTGAGCTTGCACCCATTCTGGCCGTGACCAGCAATAAAGTTCAACATACGCCAGCCCCTTGCCATTGCATTAGCTCCGGCTGTTGGCTCCGGCTTGTTAGTTCCATACCAATCTCCACCGAATGCCGAATATGCCCAGTGTTGGGTTTAGATGATGCTGATCGAAAAAACGCAGGCTAAATGCCGGCAATTGGGAGTAACCAGCGTGTTGGTAGAAGGTGGATTTACAGGGGGATCCAACTTGGCACGCAAGGGTCAGTGACATGCTTTTTTTCCAGCTAATCATCTCGTCTGCAGGTCCAAGGCGTAGTCAGTCGGTGGCGTACAAGGATCAGCGCCGGTACTTGTTACCAAATCACTCACATCGAACCCGGTTTCTCGGACACATTGAGGGAGAGATGGTCGTACTGTACAGTCTGAGCCGGAGTTGGGCGGAATTGGCCCCCGGGTTGATCTGCGGTGTAGTGCTCCAATGGACTGGTTATAATGGTGCTTGGCATCATTTTCAATGTCGCCAGGGCCAATCCTTGCCCCATGCGATGGAACGAAATTCCTGCGGATATTTGTTTTGTTGGAATGAGTCACATGATCCCCCACGTGATTTAATGTAGCCTACCCTATAGCTCTACGCGATCATTGAAGTTATATTACTCTTGCTAGTAGACGCTCAATGTAATAAGAATAATGAATATGTCTTATAGCTTCATTACTAAAAGTTGTATCATATTATTGATACTTTAATGTTGCTAATCAGATACCTCGATCTTCATTATCCCTCGTCCTATTTCTGTGTCCGCAGCTAGCCAAGGGCACACACAACAAAAATATTTCCCCTAACCTGATGACACTACTTTTCATCATTGATCTAGTAGTATGCAAAAGGCTGCTCAATAAAAGGCAACGTAAATAATATAATTGAAAGCATCTGAGTTGTGGTGTTGGAGATAGCTTGGGATCCTAGTTTAGGTGAGGGTATTCATTTTTATAGTTGGTATTGGTATCTAATGCTACCTATTCCTGAATGGTGTACTTAAAACGACGGCAGGGCGATCGAGGAGGATGGAGAAGTGCTAGATTGAGCAAGGAAGTATTGTGAAACCATCAAATTGATACCAATCTGATCTCGACATGCCATAGTACTGGGAACGAAGTTGGATGAGGGATTTTGCATTCCTGGGCTATACCACTTGCAGAGGGGCTTGGATTGTATTCGAGGATTGACTGCAAGTTGATTTGCCGCATGGGCAGGGACTGGGTAGTCAATACACAATGATTCAGTGAATTGCAGAATTAAGGCATGAAAAAGGATAGTATGCATTTGGAGTACTATTCGGGAGAAAGAGTTCGAGTATGAAATAGCCACGACAGATGCTAGACCGGACATCTCAACACAATGAATACTTTGGACTAATAATCACCTTTGAGTAGACCAGGTCTTGAAAGGTCAAGAGCCTAGAGACTTCAAGGGCAAGGCATAGTTGTACTTCAACTCAGAAGAACTGTCCGCCTAGCTTATCCCCTCGAAGCGCATGCCACCACTGACTCTGCTTGAATAGCTCCCCATCCTTTCCACCGATGAGAAACCACCACTTCTTAATGAACCATGTCTGTGCCTCCCAGCTTCTAATATCCCATGGTGCCCCGGATCCAACGGGCGAGCCCTCGCGCGACCTCACCTGGGACCCCCAACAGATGAGGCCATCGTGCTCAATGTCCTTGCACAAGTCGTCTTCGTCAATCATTGGTGGCTCAACAGAGATGGCTTGTATCACACGCTGTCGAAATGTCCGGGATGGAATGAGATCGATATAAGGGTGGTGCACATGCCGGACCTGCAATATAGTTGGCTGCAAGTCAGCCGTCAAGTGGTGGAACCTTGTCTGTACAATCTCCTCGGTGAGATCCGGAGTCGCAGATGCAGCGTAGAACGGAGAGATGGTTTCGTCGATGATCAGGTCGTCAAAGTTGATGTCTAGGGCCTCGGCATTGGCACGGAGAGCGGCCACTGTAGAAAACAACTTTATGTGGAGGTGGTTGGCGTACGCATCGGGTAGTAATAGGGAATGCGCATGCATGCCGTTCTTTGGTACTAGGATCCTATCTGTGCGTACCCCATGGGCTGTGGTCCCTGGCACTTGCTGCTGGATCACATCTAGCCCGGCTTTGATGATGTCTTGAATGGTAATGTTGGACTCGTCCATCCGTGTCTTCACCCACTCCAACTTTTCGGGCTCTATCGTGGCAGCCAAAATTCTCAGAGCGTCGGCATCGTTAATGCCGATGTTAGTGGGAGGTGATGGGGATCCCTGCCCAGCTGTCCCGCGGGTGGGCTGCTGCGTGATGCTATAGGATTGTAAGGTGTCTGATGATGCGTAGGTCGACTCTATGGCTTGACCGAGATTAGAAGATCTAGCCCCAGCGGATAAGAGGTTCTCGAGAACCTCCAAGCGTCGCTTCTGTTTCTCTCCTATATCTGGTAAGCTGCGAAAGCACCGTCATAGATGGCCTACGTACTGTAACTCTTCTGCGCTCGCAGATTCTGCTGCCTTCTCCGCTCCGAGATTCGCTTGCTAGAGACCATGTCGCTCAATGATGTCTGTCGGTAGGCAGCTAGCCAACGTAGTGGATTTGGAGAATGGAATGCTCAACACACCGGTGAGTAGATTTGCATAAGTCAAAGATGTATGTGGTATCTATGATGCTCAACACATCAGGTCAGAGTTCCCCAATGATCCTTGTCCATATGTGCCCCTCATCTGTGAGATGCTCAACACATCAGCCCGGACTTGTCGGAACAAGTCGTCACTATCTTATTATAGAATGCGGTATAACCAATCAGGAGGCTCATTTGTAGCTTTGCAGCTCAAACCAGCCCCACATCTATGCTCAATTAAGATGTAGATCCTTGCCTTGTAGGAATGCTATACTGATCATCTCCAGCCTCACCGAGAGACGAGAACGTCCTCTATTAGTTGAGTTTCTATAAAAGCCATGGATGGATTTGTGTTCGCTGCAATGGAATTTTTAACCATCTCACTGAACTTTACCTTCTCTCAATTTTGACCAACTGCAACTTAGAGCCAACCACCACGAGTGCTACAGTCACAATGGAATATACAAGGTATGCCCTCATCCTAACCTACAAAATAATGGTCTCACAGGAGGCTAAAAGAACCCAGGCTTGGGAAATCTGGACTCAAAATTTCCAATATCGTTTTTGGAACTATGTCGCTGGGTCGTCCAAGTGACCAAATGCCTTGGACTATTGATGCAGAGCAAGCCTTGCCCATCCTCAAACATGCGTTCGATCGAGGCATCAACACATGGGACACTGTGAATTGCTTCGCTTCATCATGACTTTCATGAATTTCACAAGCTGATTGAAGCTAGGCTGATATCTATTCCTACGGCGACTCGGAACGCATAGTCGGGCAAGCGCTTAAGACGTACAAAATCCCTCGCGAGCGAGTCGTCATTTTATCCAAATGTTATGGCGGTACTCCTTTTGAAGGGGAGTTTGATGATCTTTCGGAACAGGAACGACTCGTTCTGATGACACAAAATACCGGACGAATGGTTAACCGCATCGGACTGTCTCGGAAGCACATCTTTGATGCGGTAGATGCGAGTGTAGAGCGTCTAGGGACCTACTTGGATGTTCTCCAGATTCATCGCTTTGACCGTGAAGCCCCACGCGAGGAGATAATGAAGGCTCTAAATGATGTTATTGAAAGCGGAAAAGTGCGCTACATTGGCGCAAGCTCGGTAAGACTCTCACTCCCATCCTTTTCAGAGGAGATTTTAACCTTGAAGTAGATGCACGCCTGGGAGTTCCAGGCCCTCAACAATGTTGCCGAGAAGAACGGCTGGCACAAGTTCATTAGCATGCAGGATTACCACAGTCTGTTGCACCGCGAAGAAGAGCGCGAGATGCATCCTTATTGCCGCGATGCCGGTATTGGCATAATCCCCTGGTCTCCTCTGGCCCGTGGCCTCTTGGCAAGACCATTCAGATCTGATGCAGCCAAGACAGAACGCGAGAAGACGGACTACTACGCCCAACTTCTTATAGGTCCTACCACGGAAGAAGATATTTCGACCATTCGCCGCGTGGAAGAGCTCGCACAGAAACATGGCTGCACGATGGCGCAGGTCAGCCTGGCATGGTCGCTGAGGAAGGGAGTCAATCCAATTGTTGGATTCACTAGCATTGCGAGGGTTGATGAGGCTGTGGAGGCCGTGAAGCTACTGAAGGATGGTCTCCTAGATGACGGGGACATGTCGTACCTAGAGGAGCCGTATATTCCCAAAGCCGTGCTGGATAGTGCATGGTAGAGGGCTTCACTATTTTTTAAGCTTTTAAACTATATCAGACATTTCCTTTCACTGCTTTTTGTTTGATCAGGTACTTTATAGGCTGAAAGAGTTCAAGAAGATTAGCTTATAGTAAAGGATTAACAATAGAAGTTACTCATTCCTTAGTGACTACTCACTCTATAATTTTATTTTGGTTACATTCAAGACTTGAAGCTTTATAGCCATATGAATTTAACATATGCTATAATCAAAAGACACAGAGTATCTATAATTCTCCTTCGTACAAGTTCTGACACATACCCATCAGGCACTAATTCGCTCTGTAATAAAACGTAGGGCCTGCAATAGCTACGATGAAAGGGATGTTAAGTCAGAGGATATCAAATTGGTGAAAAGTGGAAATCATTACTTACTTTTTCATCTTCGAAGCGGCGAGCAACAAGTTGGAGAGAAATTGGGGCGTCTTTGTACCAATCTGGTTTATCTGATTACCGATTACTGGTTAGCTTTTCAAGAAGGGCATTGCTTATTAGTTTTGGAGCAAGAGCATACAGAGTTTGTGGCTTTCAAGGTCTATATCTCCTTTGTGAGGGAAATCGGCATCGATTGGATCCAGGGTGGGATCAACAGTCGTGACCGGGAAGGAAACACCAGGATAATCCAGAAGATTGAATAGGAGGCTGTAGTTCCAGTACTTGGATTCATCTAGTCTCGCCGGCGGGCCAATGTAGAGAGGAGTCAGGAGAACATCTATTGGATGCGAGTCTACCGCACCGGTCTTGTTCCAGGCTTGCGCAAACTTTCCCCGGAACTCGTCCCGCTTGGCAGTCCAGTCCCAAACTTCCTGTAGCGATCGTTTTGCTTTGTGTGGGTTAGATTTGAATATCCATTCAGTAAGCGGCCTCAACCCCTCCTTGCCGTCATCGAGCAGATTCAGCATTACCTCGCCATCATCGGCAAAGATTAGAGTTGACTAATCAGAGTAGAAGAACAAAACATTAGCCCAGGACAATCCACGCAAGACCCGCTGTTAGATGATACACATACCCAAATTTCGTAGGCGTCTTTCATGGAGAACTCGGCCCAATCGACGATTTCTATATCTGGGTCCTTCCGGAGCTTCTCAACCGTTTCGCGCATTGCACGACGAACAGGAGGGTGAGGAGTAACAATGCCGTCGTCCCACATGATGCCGACCTTGAGTTTCCTCGAGCCGGCGCTCCCCCGCAGCAGCCAGTCAACACTATCACGCCACTCTATTGGTGGAAGCGACGGATCAACTTCCCACAACTTGCTGTTAACTACTGTTTTCATCAGCATCTCCAGACCACCTATGCTGGTCGACATTGGGCCAATGACGGAAGGAATCTGCTCCCTCCCACCCGCGATGCCAGTTAGTCCAAGATGGCTTAAACGGGTTGAGGTCGGCTTCAGTCCATAGATTCCAGTGTGACCAGCTGGGACCCTGATACTGCCGCCTGTGTCTGATCCGAACCCTAATGGACTACCACGAAGAGCAATCAAGGCACTCTCCCCACCAGAGCTCCCCCCCGGTGTGAGCGTGGTGTTGTAAGGGTTGGTAGTCACTCCATAAATTGTGGACGACGTTTCAAGGTGCATCTAGGGTACTCGGCTTAGCATAGTGACGAATAGCTGAAATCGCCCTTTAGCTTTTTCTTTTGGGAAGGCTCACCAATGTTTGCGGTTGGGTTGTTCTCGCGAATGGCACGGCGCCAGCATCACACATGGCTTTAAGTGCCAAGCCGTCTGCATCCACGATCGTGCCAATCCGTGCAACAAACGAAAAATTAACTTCCCATCCATTCATTGATATGTGCTCTTTGACGCTGATGGGAAGACCATGTAAGGGGCCAACTGTCCGCCCGTGCTCCTTGTAGTAGTTATCAAGCCATTCTGCTCGCTTCAGAGCGGCTTGTGGAAGCAGCTCTGTGATGCAATTCACCTATGAGCAAAAGGAAATTTAGTACCAGACAGGTTTCTCAAACAGCGTGACTTCGTGGAGCAAGCCAGGGTGGGCATACCAGACGCTGTGCAAGAGCGGCTCTTCTCAGAAAGGCCCTTATGACCTCAACAGCTGAGAAATGCCCATTTGCTAGAAACTCAACCAGATCCTCGGGAGTCTTCTCTGTAATTTCACACTCGCGCGACGTCAAAATCTCACGCGGCAGGCTTGTCACATTGAGGGGAAGGTCCTTTGGCAGATCAGGCAGCGGCGGTTCCACTGCAAGAGAGATATCGCGACGACGACGGGCTTCATGAATTGGATCCCTTGCGTCATCTGTTTGGATCTGGAGGACAGACATTTTGCTTGACAAAGTATATACCTGGGATGTGATTTCCGTTAATGGTGTCAGATCTTCGAAGTTGAACGAATTATATAGCTGTTCCGCATTTTCTTCCCATTCGATGTTTGGGCAACTTGTCCCACATAATCATCGCATGCTTATCAACGGCGGAAGCGCGCTTCCACCAAGGAGAACTGCAGTATCCATCATCGGGGTTTCCAGAACCCCGGATCTAGTACTCTCCGAGGTCATGCTATTTCGACGACCTTATCGAGATGGGGAAATCTACCTTTCTTTCCTGTTTGGGAAGCTTCCTGATTAGGTAGGTTTGCTGTTATCATTGCTAGTGCCTCGTCATTGGCACTAGTTGAGTGAAGTCTGGAACTTGCCGATTTGGGGTTCAGGATGATCCCGTCGAATGGTACAAAATCATGCTAGTGAGGTGGAAATTGGCTGAATTCCCCAGGTTCTAGGCCCTGCAGGCTTGGTCAGAAGCAGGGTGAACTGCATCGGAGAAGTGTGGGGGTTGCAATCTCATCCCCATACATGAGATTTCTTGTCAGTGAGAGACAAGGCTATCTACCATATCATGTACATATACATTGTCTTCAATGTCAAGAAACGGCTTAGGTCTAACGACCGTCAATTGTGCCTATCAAAGGAATCTCTCCACCGCTGTCGCCACAAAGCTCTAGATCCATGTACACCCAACAATTCCCTTAACGAATTGCGTCTTGGTCTTATTTCAGGATATTGACCTTGTTGTACTAGTTCTTCCGAGACTTGGGTTGCTCAGCATCGAGGCCGTTTTCTATTTAAACATCTTTAGGTCTGGCCATCAAGGCCAACACACCATTGCCACATTGTCTCTCCATGTCTACATGTACGCTCTCTAGCTACTAGAAGACGATATTTCATGCTTACGCCTAGGTGACTCTGCTTTCCCAATCCTTTCTCGTTATACTCGCCAAGAAAAGTATCTATTGTCCCCAACCTGCAACCATGACAAGTTCCATCGTCGAATCCTCGGAGGTTCACACGGGTCAGCTACGATGGTACAGACTGAACAAGTAAGGATTTCGCTGCTTAAACTCAAGCTGGACTGCTTCTGATCAATCGGTAGCCCCTCTGTGCAGAACTTTCTTATGGCATGCGTTCTGTTTTGCAACCCAGGGCTTTACTTGGCAATCTTGGTACGTACCCCTGCCTCGATTTGTTTAATTGTTGATGTCGCAGCCGCCTGAGCCATTGGCACGTTAAGGGAGATCAACTAACATATACCTTTTCCAAGGGACTCGGGGCTGGAGGTGGTCAGGCGTCATCGCTTTTAATGGCTCAAGTATCTAATGCGTGTCTATACGCCGTATTTGCGGTGACTGGAATCCTAGGCGGCACAATTTTGACAAAGATCGGCCCTAGATGGACTGTGCTGCTCGCTATTTCCGGATACCCTCTCTATACTGGTGTGTACAATACCAGGACGAACCTCCTTGGAAGATTCTAATATCCGGTGCCACTAGGTTCTCTTTGGTACTTTGACAAGTCGGGTGGCCAGCTTTGGTTTCCGCTTGTCTCAGGATGCTGGCTTGGTTTCAGTGGTGGCTGTCTTTGGACCACTGCCAGTGAGTAATCTTCATCTCCCATGACTGACCCAGACATCATGTCCGTTCCGATAATGATCTATGTATCTCACACACCCTTCTCGTTCAAACAGGCTTCATTGCGAACGTCTATGCATCCGAATCTGTATGTAAACATCCCATGTCACCTCTGAGGACAGCAATTCTGACAAGCTGGGCGCTATAGGAAAAGGGGGCGTTTAGAGCTATTCAGTGGACGGGAAACTCGGTCGGTGCCACCGTCGGGGCTGGTATTGCCCTCGCCATTAACTTCAATGGTAAATATCTATTTACTTGCCTTCCTCCGGTGCTCGAGGCTCGACAGAAAGCACTACTAATGCTCAGACAGCCCAAACCCCCTCAACGCCCCAAAGCGTCTACATCATATTTATTGTTCTCCAATGTGCATCAGCTAGTTTCGCGCTTTTGATGATCGACCCCAACAAGCTCATCAGACCCGACGGCACGCCTGTAGCTGTCTTCCGGCCTACAACACTTAAAGAGAGCATAGTCGCTCTCGGTTCAATGTTCAAGGACTGGAGACTGATCCTTATGCTGCCCGCCTTCTTCACTCCAGAGGCTTTCATCGTTCTTCAGTCTTCACTCAACGCATACGCCTTCAATCTCCGTACGCGGAGCCTGAACAACGTTTTGTCGTATGCGTGCCAGATCCCGGTGGCTTTGTTTGTGGGATATGTTCTTCTAGACAATAAGCGACTGGGGTCCAGACGCAGGCGAGGTCTTCTTACCATCGGCTTTGATGCGATTTGGATTACCGGAACATATATCGCTCTTACCCTCTGGCTTCACAGCTGGGGGTTTGATAGGAGCATACCCGGTCCAAACATTGACATAACAGACGCGGCTTGGCCCGGCGCGGTAGCCATCTACGTTTTGTACGGTTCTCAGTATGGCATTTTCCAAAATACTGTGCTCTGGGTACTGGGCTCGATGAGCAACGAACCAAAGTTGATGGCACACTTGGGCGGTGTTATGGTTTGCTGTAAGTCAAAAATTCACCCTCGGCAAGTGCTGGAGAGCGAGTAGAAGGGAAGGGAAGAGAATAATAGGAATGTGCTAATCACATAGATCAGTCATATCAGCAGGTACAGCGGTATCTTTCGGCATCGACTCAGCCAGCGTCCCTTACGAAGCTGAAAATGGCCTCTGGTTCGCTCTTAGCACATTGACTTGGCCCATCCTGGCCTTTGTGACATGGAAGTATATTCGTCCCACGAATTATTTCGTGGAGGAAGGGGTTGGAATTCCAGTGGAGATGCAAAATGGGCAACTAGATTCTCAAAAGAAGATTGAAGCAGAGAAAGGGTTGAATGTTGTCAATGTTGAGACTGGTGCTGTCTGACACCCTTTGTCACGGGGTGGCTGAAAGGCCCAAGTCAAACCGCAATGGGCAGAATTGAGCTTGAACTATTTTCTTCCGCTACCGACTATGTCTCGGCGGGAATGCCTTTTCTAAGACTATACTCGAAATATAAAAGCTTCCAATAAGCACATATGTTTAAAAGGAAAGATTTCTTTGATTGCCCTCATCAATTATTTCGGATGCTAGGAACGTGTAGCTTCATAGATGTTACTACTGGTTATACATGTTTTTGTGACCAGTCCAGGCGCTTCATCCACCACACATCAAGCATTGGCCAAGGGTTTATATAAGAAATAATAAATAGTCTTGGAAGCAACAACATCTAAATCAAATTCACTTGAATACAAAGTCATGTGGCCAGTGCGCAGCAGGAGGATTGATTTGTATTTGGCAGGGAATTTCAATGGGTAATTTGTTTCCGCTACGAACCTCAACGGAGGGATTGTCAACTACGGACAGCCTCTTCTATGGATATTGCTTATTACAGGTAGCTAAGTAATGGGAAATTGAAGTATACAATATACCCAAGCGATCAATCCTAACCAATGTTATATACGGCCAGCACGGAACTCTTCCGCCATTTTCTCAAAGGTGCACCATTCAACCTCCTCATATTGATTGATCCAATCAATGAACCTGCAATAATTAGACTCTTGTATATCCATGCTTGACGGATCGTTGCTCTCTCGACAAGGACAGGAGGACAAGGGTGGGAGACTTACCGTTCGTGCATCCTCATAACATGTGGTTTACCACTAACTTGTGGATGGATCGTAAGCGGGATAATGAAAGTATCGTAGTGCTCGTAGCAATAGAGAAAAGTCTCCCTCCATGTCTTCTCCACAACTTCGGGGTCTACATAGCCTTGCTGTTCCATGATTTAGCACAAGCTCTACATTTCAAGGATTCTCAATGAGCCAAACCCACCGCATTTGGGCGCGTTGCTTCGAATTGAAAGGCTGGCCAGTCATCGAATGTCCAGTTACCTAATGAAAGTCAGCAGAAAGAATAAAAAAGCTTTCATGATTGATTTGAAGCCAAATACGACTGACCTGGGATCACGACAATATTGGATGGACTCTCGGTGGAAGACGGCACCATCCAAGTTGACGCTGGTTTACTATAGTCGGTGACGACATGAACTTCTCCGTCCTTCGGGGCCCAGTATGCGTGAAAGTCATTATGCATGTAAGAATGGTCTAATAGCCGTCATTCAAGCGTTAGATTATCTCATATCACCCAGCACACGTGTGCGTGGCTGCGGTGGGACGGTCCTGGGCGGTGAGAGATCTTCTACTCACCGTAGCTGAAGCCCATCTCTTCCATAATCTTGATCTGCTCCGGATGAGGATCCCATGATGGGGCCGTGAAACCAGCAGGCTTCTTTCCTCCACAGAATTCAGTCAGGACGTGGACCGATCTTTCCATGACGTCCTTGAACTGCTGAGTGCTGAGCTCTCCAGCATGCCTTTGAATCACGTCACAGGCCATGTCAGCTTCGAGAAACCGTGATTAGTTCATGACGGTGAGCTTACTCGTGAGTATAACCATGGCAGCCGCTATGAAATAAGATATCAGATACTGCGACGATATATCGTGTCCAATGAGCCACCTACTCACATTTCATGTCCACCATCTCTGATCCTTGCCATCTCTACAGGAAATGTCTCGATGGTGTGTGCAGGAATGTACCTGAACACTCTGTATTTAGCAATCGCCTTCAACGGCCTTAAAACATTTCACGGAGGTGTGAAAAAGCAGATCAACATACCACGAGCATTTGATACTCTTCTTTTCGAAGAGATCTAGAAGCCTTTGCGTGCCTACTTTAGCACCAAAAACACCTTTACCGGCGTTTTGATTAGCTCGATGCGGGGTGTTCGAAGTGGCAAAGCAGTCTCACCTCGGGATATGTTTGATAGATTTGGTCGAGATCCGTTGGTGAGGTTGATGTGTCCGGAGACAGCATCAACGTCAATGCCATACCCAACTAGAATCCTTTTCTTGCCCATGGTCGAGATCTGATTTTCACGTAACGAACACTGCACCGGGGATTGAATGGACTAGTCTTATGGTGCAAAATACTGAGCATTCTACGGCCATTATCAGCTAATACTAAGTTAGGTATTTAAACTTGGGAGTCGAACCAGGTATTTTACCGAGGAAAGACAGACTCAGTTTCCTACTTAGGAAAGTCTACGTATTTACTAGCCCGAAATATCCAACATACCCCTCTGCTCTTCTCTTGAAACTAAAATCTGCGCCAACGGATGGTTTCGGTCGATGATCTCATCCCATCACATACCGGATCCTGCCCCGCTTCTATCGCGCAAACCATCGCGCCTCCTAATTTTCACAGCTGAGCCAGATGGTGAATACTTTCCCAATCAGGCAGTTCAGATCTAGGGCGGATTGCTATGTCAGAGCACAACATGTCAGCATTCATTGTATCTCACATTGGGGACAGGAGTCATTGACCGTCGATGTTTTTTTTGGCTTTTCTGGACAGCATGGGGTTCTAACTGACATGTCAGGTCCGAGTCCTTGATTAAATAATAAGCGTCTTGTCTGATTCTAGATAGGCTCAAATCAATATCTTTGGATGTACAGCACTAAGTCAGAAATCCTTTATCAACGTAGGATAATTCTTAAACCTAAACATTTCATAGTCAGCGTAAAGAGCTTTGTGCTAGAAAAGATCTTCTCATCTAGAACGTCCGAGTGATTATAATGCCTAATTTAGTGAACCATAGGAATGTATTGGGACTTTTGTTAGGCAATGGTACAGTTTTTGATGCGAAGCTCTGCTCATTGTTGAGAAAAAAGTTTGTTCTGAGGTTCGTCTTTTTTGGAGCCTTCATACCTCCTCCAAACTTTCACGTGTATCGACTTGTACTAGATTTATGCTCCGGCTGGACATTTTCATGTAGAACTTTTACGCTAATTTGCTGCCAGAGCGCTATTGAGCCGTGTATCGCGACGTGGCTAGATATTACCCAAAGCCTAACTCACAATTTGGCAAGGAACTCGGATTCTTATTTTATGGATAGTCGAAATTGAGATATTACCCCTCATCTTGTTTTGATTTCGAGTAAGTCAATCCTCCAACAGGCAAAATGAACAATACCCCAGGGGCCTCTCCACGAGCGCATCCCGGGCCTCGTCATGACAAAATGAAGTTAGCCAGTGAATCTAGAGCAACCTCTTGATCTATTTTCCCTGTATTGTCGGAAACTGCCTTTCTGTATTCCTCTTCGGTGATCTCGGGTCTAGTCAGTTCCAAAACCCTTTCCATGGCCTTCTTGTCGAATTCTGGATGGGATTGCAGTGTCCAAAGTCGGCCTGGGAGATATAGGCCTTGAATAGCCGTCTTTTCGGTCGATCCCAAATTTTGAATCTGCCCTAGATTACCCTCCTTGACCTCCCAGCAATGAGACTGATTCAGAGCCTAGTAGTAGAGAATTAGACATTAGCCAATGAGGAAAGTTCTTTCATGAGATAGGTCAAGATAATTCATTCCATACAATGCGATCTTGCCTAAATATGCTCTTGCCTGTTTCGGATAGCTGGATATTCGTGACAGCGTTTTCATAGCCTTTGTTGTTGACGCCCACAGAGAGCCCGTGAGCCAACGCTATGACCTGGTGACCAAAACATATGCCCACCAGCTTCTTATCCTGCTCAGCTCTTACAACCTCTTCCACGTATGCGAGCAGTTTGGTGATCCAGAGCTCCTGGTTTTTAGGATGCGTAGCTGGTGGCAAGTGTACACATTAGTACTGGTGGCCAACGCGGGCAGTCCTTGATTGGAAAGACAGAAAGAGAGAGACAAGGTGAATGACCTACGTGCCCCAGTGATCAAAATGACATCGCATTCGTCCGATTGAGGGTACTGCATCTTGTTCTTTGTATCCCAGACTCGGATCTCGGTTTGTTCTCGCAAGCGGTTGTTTGATTTGAGCCATGTTGAGATGAGCCCTCCGTATCCGCCGTACCTGGACCTGTCAGGGTCAAGCGTATCATCGCATTCGAAAATTCCAATTTTTGTTCTTTGAGCCATGATAGACTGAAATAGGAGGCGTCTCTGACAAGAGCCAAGAATAGCGTTTTTTCACAATGTTGTTGGATTTCATTGATCATCCCCCACCAACATGTAGATATACCGTTGGGCCGAGGCTCGTAGTCAGCCAGAGATGGCGCAGAATCAGTCCAAAACTTACTTAATTAGGAAGCTCGGCTAGTGCGGTTCAAAGACTCAAGGGTAAGAAGGGTAGATGAGGCTTACGAAATTCTAGTCCCCACCCATTCTCCAAGCGGCCACATCTTTGTTGATCAGAAGGACACGTAGACAGCACTGTTTAATCTAAAAGGCCGTCAAAGAGTAATTCGCACGGGCATGGTGTGGTGGCGATGTTTCTCTAAGTATAGATGGTGGATAAACTATTGCACAGTTTCCAGGCATTTTAAAATTGTAGAGGATAAAAATTATCCATGCGCTCAACTACCTAACTCTAAGCCGTTGCCACTGAGAGCGAAACACGACCGTCTAGAATTTCTCCAAGCGGAATTCCTTTTGATATGACTTTTGATAAGAGCCGGTTGCGAGACAGCTATTCTTTTAACTCCTGTGGCTTCGTGAAATGCACACCTCAGCTGACCACAGCCCTAGCTTTCTAATAATCTAAGGGTAGTAACGATAATTCTTGTTTTTCCAATCTGTGATGTCCAGTTTCGCTCTAGCCCCAATGACGGCGGGCGCGTCCTCAGTAGCGACAGGCGCACCGTATTTCTTGTCACGGGCCACATTTCTCCAGTGGAAGAACGCTGCCAATCCCAGCATGTCCGCTGTTGACAGACACAAGCAGACGAGAAGGGTAACAAAAGCGGTCGTGTAAGCAGGAGCTTCAGTTTCGAGGAATAACTGAGGACCAGCAATGTTTCCTGCACAGTACCCTACGAATATGAGAGCAGTGACTGTGCCTCGCTTGGTGAAGCCCCCGACGTTGCTGCTGACAAGGCTTAGTGTAATGGGGAAGCCTCCTGCAAAGACCACTAATAGGTAGAGTCCAATCAGGTGTCCCACGCGGTTGGTCGATGGTAGTTGGCGTATCAGGATGACTCCAACAAGGCTGATGGCATTGAGTATTGCCACGGTTACAGCCCGCGAATTCTTGATCTTTGTGACTGCATAAGCGGCGCCAAAAACGGAAATGAGCTGGAATCCCGCCATGGGCATATTGAGAAGTAGTGTAGTCACAGTGTTGAAACCCAGCCCCTGGATGATAATGGAGCCAAAGTTGGTTATGCATCCATTAGGCAAAGATCCGAGGAAAGCGTAGAGAAAGAGAAGCCAGGTTTTAGGATCAACTAGGGCTTCCCACACCTGAGACCACTCGTATTGACCTGTCTGCGATGTTGATTGGGCCTTCTGAGCCCTACTCACGGCGAAGGCTCGTTCTTCCTCGGTAAGGAACTTAGCGGTCGAGGGATCATTAGGAAGAAAGAAGAGAATAACGAAACTCCAAGCAAGGGTTATGACTCCAAATATGATGAAGATGAGCTGCAGTTGTAGGCCGAGAGGTTAGCAAGCTTCCAAGTAAAAAAAAAATCCGATCGAAAGCGAGAAAAAGCAGTACAAAGATGACGGAACATACCCTCCAAGATGCGATTCCGCTCTGCGCATGCCCGATACCATACGCAAGCAGACTGCCGAACACAGTCGCAATGGCATTACCGGAAAACCAGATTGCGTGGCGGGACGCGTGCTCCTCTGGTGCATACCACATACCCGTCAATAGACTGAAGCCCGGACTGATGGCGCTCTCAGAGGCACCTAGAAGAAACCGTAGTACCATGAGGCTAGCAAAGTTGCTGGCTGCAGCATGGCAACAGAGCACAATGGCCCATATAACCCTAGCTGGCCAGTTAGTACGATGTAATTTGTTGCCATTTGCGGGTGAGAGCCACTCTACTGATGAACGCACATTGTTACACCAAGAAATCGAGCGATTGGAAATCTGGCGAAGCCAAATGACATGGGATAGCTGGCGGCCATGTAGCCAAAATAGAACATGCTGGAAGCCCAAGCATAGTCTTGACCAGAAAGGTTCTGTTCACACCATTAGACCATCAAGTTGTTCTCTTTTTCTGGGCTACAGACGTGCGATTCAAAGTTTGCGTTCTCACTTACAGTGTCCTGCCTGATACCAGTGACGGCGGCGTATCCTAGCGTTGTTTTGTCGAGGTACTGCAACATATAGGAACATATCATGGCGGGCATAAGACTGTAAGTCGTGTTTTGTAAGCATAATGGCAATTTCCATCCAACGACCAAGTAGTTCAATAACTTTACCGGAGATCGATCTTTCGCACAAGGCGGCTGCGATCAACCTGAACCTGTTTGCTGCCTAGCTCACAGGTTTCAAAGTTCACCGTCATGCCATCCACACTTGGCACCTTCTTGATGCTATCATGATCCTTGGACGCCATTTTAAGAAGCAGTAAGTTGTAGGCAGGTCTGGATGACAATGCTAAAAGCCACAACTGTGCAGGACTTTCTAATACTCAAAAGATGCCGCGCAATTGTCATTCGAGGCCTCTGCGTAAATGTGTTAGGCTTTTATTTAGGGCCGACGCTCTTGGTCTCACAACAACCTATAGCTCGAATCAGCACTAGTTTGTCCGGTCTTGATAACAGCCTGGGGTTACAGCGCTTGGGGAAGTCAAAGATGCCATCCTCAGTCCAGAAGATCGGGCCATGGTTGGTTGACCTTCCCTATGAGGCAGGTTTTCAAAGTTCCGTCTTTGCGCACTACTCTAAGACCCAGCAGATATCCATGTACTTACATGTACAACCATGGTTGCATGATATTGTACTAGGCTAGGCAAATTAAACTACTGCCGATTTTGGTCCGGTTGGTAAAGCGCAGCCCCGGAATATAATTATGGCTTCCGTTTAACAAGGAGGCGCAACCACGAGATAACGATTGAACCCCCCCCACCCCCCGACTTAGTCTGCCCCAGACTCATCTGGTCAAACCCCGTATTCCGAAATGGACAGTGCCAGAGCTGTGATCAGCGCCGAGGTAGACTCCAAGGATGTTGATATTGCGCGCCTCAACCAAGGAATATACTCGAACCCCGAGCTTGCTTTTGCCGAATTCCACGCCCATCAGACCTTCGTCGAGCTTCTCCAATCTCTGGGCTTCACCGTCACACCCCATGCCTACGGGGTTGAGACCGCATTCTCGGCCGAGGTAGGTTCTGGTGGTCGTCTGGTCGTGTTTAACGCCGAGTATGATGCGCTTCCAGAGATTGGCCATGCCTGCGGACACAACCTGATTGCTTCGGCATCGCTGGCGTCTTTTCTCGGTGCTGCCGCAGCCTTAAGGTCAACTGGAATCCCGGGACGCGTTCGCCTGCTCGGTACTCCTGCTGAGGAGAACGGTGGAGGGAAACTCAAGCTGATCGAGAACGGAGCATATGCGGGATGCTCGGCGGCGATTATGGCACATCCAGTCGCAGGAGGCCGGCTACAACCCCCAGTCCGAGGAGTCGCTTTTCTCCGTACGCTCTGCAATGCGCGGCTGCTTGTGACATACGAAGGGCGCGAGGCGCACGCAGCCATTGCCCCTTGGGCTGGAGTCAATGCCCTTGACGCAATATGCTTGTCATACAATGCCATCAGCATGCTACGGCAACACATCCTGCCTACGGAGCGAATCCACGGTGTCTTCCATAAGTCCGGCACACGTCCTAACGTCGTGCCTGGCGAAACAGTCGTCGAATACTTCGTGCGCAGTGACACCAAAGCCAGCGCGTTTGCCTTGGCAAACAGGGTAATCAACTGCTTTCGAGGTGCTGCCACCGCCACCGGCTGCAAGGTTCACGTGGCCGACATTGCGTGCTACGCCGATCTGCGCCCCAGTCCAAAGCTTTGTAGAGCCTACATGAACGCAATGGCCGAGGGTACAATAGCCTACGATGAGCCGGCTGATATCCTGGCTGGAAGCACAGATATGGGCAATGTCTCATACGAGACGCCCTCATTCCACGCTGGTTTTGCAGTCGACACCGAGCCTGGCGTCAACCTACACACGCACGAGTTTACCGTCGCAGCTGGGACTCGCGGGGCACTCGATAGAGCTATAGAATGTGGCAAGGGTATGGCCCTCATTGGATGGAGAGTGCTCTCAGATGATGCCTTTGCGCATGACGTATATGAAGACTGGGAAAGGGATATCCAAAGCGTGACTGGCATGAATGTGTGAATAGAGCCTTTACATCATTGAACAACCTAGAAAATAAAGATGAAATACCATAAATAAACTATCAGATATTTCAATTGCGCTAATGTTGTCCCATATATCCAAGTCCGTTCGTAGCTATTCCTCTGAATCTTAATTGAATCTGGGTTGACTTCATTCCTGGGACCTGACATGTAACAACCAGCGCGTCTCAACCAAACCTTTAGCTCGAACTGAGGACGTTTTTTTTTTTCCTTACCGGTATGTTAGTAACAGCCGCTGACCATGTGAATTCGCCTTCAGAGGGCAAATGGGATGTCTATATCATAGAACTCTATTGGGTGTCGTCTTAACTTAGGGTGATGCCACCATCAACCAGAACAATGGATCCCTGCATAAAACTATTGAGAGGAGAAGCTAACAAAACGATAGAATCCGCAACCTCCTCAACTTCGGCTACACGACCCAATGCACTATCATCCACAACCTTCTTCAGCGGCGTGGCATCCCCTTGAGCCAAGACGCTGTCGAGTAGCGCGGATTTGACAAACCTTGTGCCGTCCGTTAGCTCATGTGAGAAATAAAACAATGTTACTTGCTTACCCAGGGCAAATCGCATTGACGCGAATGTTTTGCGGGCCGTAGGCAACGGCGTCGGCTTTTGTGAGACCGACAACACCTAGAAATTCTGTCAGAACTCGAAGGGTCCCAAACTCATTATTGCGACCTTCCTCGCCAGCCAGTATGGGGTCATACCGTGCTTTGCCGCGGTGTAAGCGGTGTGCGGCAGCCCCTTTTGGGGTGCGCAGACGCCCCAAGTAGAAGCGAGGTTCAAGATGCTTCCGCGACCTCTACGCAATCCCAGGTCCTCTTGTGCCGCCATGATGCGTAATTCCTCCTTCTGGCACCTCCAAACCCCGTTGAGGTTGATGTCAACGAGGTTCAACCAGTCTGCCTCCTCGACCTGGTCCGTCATGTCGATGGGACCTCGGATGCCGGCATTGTTGATAGCAATGTCAAGCCTTCCGAATTTCTCTACGACAGCCTTGAAAGCAGCCCTGATCTTCTCAGCGCTGCGGACATCGACCTGTATTCCAAGAACCTCAATATCGGGGTACTTGACACGCAATTCCTTAACGGAGGCCTGCAAAACGTCGTTGTTGGCATCGGTCAGCGCGAGCTTCTTGGCACCAAATTTAGCAAAGGAATGCGCGGCAGCCAGCCCGATGCCTGTCCAAGGTTGCATTAGCAACTATTCATGCCTTTCTTAGGGACTTTCATACCATACCTTGAGCCGCCCCGGTGATTAGCACAGATTCCCCAGTAAGAACAGACATGGTGTGATGTGGTAAGAATGACGAGGATATCCGTGTGCGGAAGTGTGGTGTACAGTCCCGTGGCCTATTGCAGGACGAAGTAGATTGTTGCTTTATATCCCCTCGAGATCTAGCTATTTTGGGGCCTACACAAGGACATCATGCACGGTACGTTGGCCGACCTTCCACAAAGGGAAACTTTACAGGACCCAGAAGGCCGTCTGGGATGAAGCTAAATGCGTCTTATGCCTGTGGGACCAAGCTTAGAGCTTACCATTGTATGTACCTTTCCACCTGCCTCACACGCTGCTCGCAAATGGAAAGCACTCAGCGCTGATATCCATCGAACTGAGCATTTGCCGGCTCTGTAATACGGCCGTCTCAACTAATAAAATTATGGATTTTCAGGATACACAAATTCAGTTACAGAGGCCGGAGCCGACTCCACAGTCCACAATCCCTGACGCGAGGTAACTCAACGGCCCTCCCTTCAACTTTTCCATTTTCTTGCACAACGACTCACCAAAAGGACCAGACCCAGCCCACCTCCTTTGAGATATCTCTCCAGTCAAGAGGTTCCTCGCCCCTGAGTTCCGACTTGCGCCTATGGTCCCAGACCAGTCTTAGCAACTCTGCGCAATTCTCAAAAAGCACAAGTCTGTTCACGCCCGGCGGAAAGTCCTCGAGAATCTCGAGGGTGCGCTGCTTCAGCTCTGGACGTTCGAAAATATCCAGCTCTAGGCTGGCAATCATGAGAGGCCATATTACGTTGACACTCGACATGCGATAGTCAAACTCCTTGAGGTGGTGCAGGGTCCGGACAATGTACTGCTGCACCGTGGCATGGCGGTACGGGAGCCTCCGCACCCTTCGCGAATAGTGCACGAGGGCTGCGTTGCGGTAAGCTTCTGAAATGTTCATCAGCGTCTCGCTGCTGTCCGCGGGCGGCGTCCAACGAACTAACAGGTCCTCCCAGGCATTGAAGCGGCAGTTGTTGTCGTTGTCGTTGTCAACTCGCGTCTCGTCGACACTGCCGCCACCGCATGGCGCCGATGCCACGTATCGCTCAATCTCGCAGAGCACGAACAAGACGATGGTTGGACAGCCGAGGATTTTCTGGAAGAACTGATCCTCGCTGCATAGCCTATGGACAGTCATCTCCCCGCCACGTCGAACATGGTAATACATGCTTAAGTCACCGAGAAAGGCACGCCAGTAGGCGCTGGAGATGGTGATGGGGCGCCAGGATGTCACGGCCGCCATTGTCTCCATCGCGACAGCGCACTTGGTAAAGACTTGCCAGTCGCTGGCTTCCACCATGTCCGCCTCTAGCCTGTCTCGACCCTGGAGCATCATGATGATGCCCTGTAGCCACAGGGCCCAGTCCCCGATGCCAGAGTCAACGATTTCGATGGATTGGATGAAAAGGCAGGCAAGCAGATTGGGAAGGCTAGCGCAGTCTCCAGCAGCGAGACTCTCTCGGAACAGCACGAGGACCTTTTGCTTATGCCACAGAGCCTTCACCGAGTCTTCTGTCTTGCTGGTGCAGGATCGCGATGCCCAGTATCCTGTCAGGGCGAATAACGCATGTTGAAGGATGGGGAACTGCATCGAGGCTGGTATGACACTGGATATAAACGGGTTATCAACCGTCAGCCATAATGGCGTGAAGCGTGGCAAAGCCGACTGAATATCTGAGAGACAGGCTTGTTAGCGAGTAGACCTGCGGATGAGGAAGCCCAAGTAGCGAGCTTACATAGCTGATAGTATCTCGACGCATCAGTTGAACTGACGCGGTTACTTGTGGGACTGATTATTAGAGGAGACGAGCAGGGTATCTGTATCGCTGGACCAGAGTGATTGGCATCTTGCCGGTGTATTGATGACCGAACAAACGATACTGGAGGTTGATCTTCTTCGGAATCTGTGATTGCCGCAGGTGTGCTTTGACGCGATCTGATGGAGGGAAGAAAATAGAGATCGTCGTTCGATGATGAGCTATACCGGTCGAATGTATCGTCGGTGGGGGCGGCAGAGGTAGGGGATGGTAATTCAAGCAGCGCAGCTGCGTCGCAAGGTGGAGAATCCGTGATCTCACGTACTGGAATCAAAGGCAACGGGTCCTCCAGCTGCAGCGGCCAAGAAGAATCAAGCCCGGGTAGCATGGAGTAATTGCTTGATTCAGTATCTCGAGATTCTTGAGACTGGCTGGATAAGTCAACCTGGGCCGTCGAGGCGTCTACTGGGGAACACAACGGAAAGCGATTGTCTTCCGTTACAGGTGCAGCAAGTCCACGTGTTGTATTGTCCCTCGCTATCGCGCCATGTGACGATCCCAGTGCGGCCTCAAAGTCATCGACCTGCAGATGCTGCCGTCGGCGGACCTTGGCCGGGGCGCGTGCCTTCTCTGCCACCTGGAACCGAACACGATACTTTTTCCGGGTTGTCGGCTTGGCAACTACCGTAGAGTACTTTCGTCAGCATGAGAGCCCGGCTGCATACTGTGACGTGTTTCTCGAGATCGTTATACCTTCTGGGGGCTGGAATATACCCCGGACGTTCTTCAGCCTGCCACTGCGCGCCATGGTGCGCGACCAGCGGACCGACTGGGACGGGCTGTTGTCGGGATCGTCATTGAGTGCAGACCAAGTAGCCTGCATTGATGCAAACTATCGCTATGTTGTGTGTTGAGTAGTCCTCGGTGTCGCGATATTCCCTGTGATGTCGCCCGATGCCATCATCAAGAGGAGGAGATTTGGATGCTACTAGCCTCGAAGTAAATGCACGTGCTACTACGTAAACTTTGGCATGTTATCTTATCACTCCCCCGCAATTCCACCCAATGGGGATAGCAGGGAGATGGGTGCAGGCATGTGGTGTGGAGGATTGACTGTGAGGAGAAGCATATCCAACTGCTCTGTTCTCTTGTTATCTACTCAGTCAGGGGGCGAGTCTTCACTACCGGATTACATGCCATCAGCATCTCGAGCTTGGCTTTTCACGCCCTGGGGTGGCAAGACCAGTTTTATAACTACCTGCATCTGTAGGCAGATACAACATCGTCTTCTTTTCTACACATACAGAAGACTGACAACACTCAAATGCAGCATGGCTCATTACAGATACGGGCCTCTACTAGAACATTTCTCAATCGACGCACAAGTTGCATGAACAAGATAAGAAGAAAGCACACGGACCAACAGTGTAAAAGATAACATTCCACGCTAGATCTCTCACGGGCCCCAGCGTTCTAACCTTGAGCGAGGCTTATCAAAAAAAAATGGGTGTGAAATAAAACGGGCCTAGATCGCTTATGCTCAAGTCTCACTAGTCCATACATGGAAGCTTCCTAATTCAGCAAGTTTTTCAACACTGTCCACCTAGTAGTTTGACATGATTAAGGAGATACCTTAGGTAACTCAGGACAAAGGGGGAACCAGCAGGAGTGAAAGGCTTCGACTCGGTTGGACCCTGGATTTGCATCGTGGCAAGTTGTCTGGGTGTTCGGATAGTTGTGCACGTCGACCTGGGATTCAATCACAACGCGGCCAACCGACATGATTAGTAGATCCTCGTGCGAGCAATGCGCTTGGCAAATGTTTAATTCGTTGTCCCAAGTTCAGCATTCATCTTGGAACGATCAATCATCGTAACTCAATGCACCAAGCTAGGAATTAAATTCCGATTAATTAAATATCCAGTTCCGGCTGTATTCATTGAAGATCAGTCGTGACGACTGGCATCTTGAAACGATACCGCCCGTTGAACAAATAAAAAACGAGCCCAATAATCACCCAACCAATCATAATAACACTAGAGTAGTTCATGTTCGCCTCCGTCACCGGGATCTGCGTAGGGAATGTGCTGAAGCAAATTGCCACAGACGACCAAGCAAGAGCAATAGTATTACAGCTAACGCCCAGCCATCGCGGGAGTTTGAAAGGCCCATAATCGCAAGACCTAAGCCTACTGCGCCCAAAGAACAGCATGGCAATAATAGGAAGCATGTAAGAAAGATACATGCCAAAGATGGCCATGGACAGGACAGCATTAAAAGCAGTGGTGTTTCCAGCGTAGATCGTGCCGAGGAGCATATTAAGGATGCATACAAGAACGACGGCCCGTACAGGGACCTTCTGCTTGCTGCTAACTTTGCCGAAGTAGTTTGAGAATGGGACAGCATCGTCCCGCGCAAACGCCCAGAAGGTTCGAGACGTGGAGGTTAGGCCAGCCATGGCCGCCGCAACAGCAATGATCACGATGAACAGCGCAAGCACCGTGGTAAGAGCAGTAGACTTGGTGGCTTCAAGGAATATCACCATAAAGGGGAACCCGGTAGGGGTCTGCAGAATATCCTCGAGTGAGCCAGTGGAGAACGCGAGCATGAATACGAACCCGAGGCCCATGACCCCGTTCATGGCAACACTCCCCATCATGGCCAGAGGGACATTGCGGGATGCGTTGGGTAGCTCCTCGGCAAGGTGGCAGGCTGCATCGTAGCCTAGAAAAGGGAACACGGTGCTGGTAAGCCCGATGAGCCACGCGATCCCGTCACTCTGCCACCCTGTGACGTTGCTAAATTCCGTGAATACGGATGCTGCCGTGTTTTTCTCAGATTTGACCCCCAGGGTCACTAGGATGACAACAAAACCTGCAATGTGGAGAACGCCTATGTATTGTGACCGGCGTTAGCTTCTTCGGAGTGAAATGCTTGTAATATTGGAGCTAAGACCAACCTGCGATGAGATTGGCACTGCTCAATCTGCGATAGCCGAGTGTATTCATTACCAAGGCATATACCAGCACCGCCCAGTACAGAAAGAGGCCATGCCACCTTTGGGGAGCGTAGTCGGCGTCGTTGAGGATGATCAGGCCTTGAATCATCAGGCCCCCTGCAAATGCTGCCGAAGCCGTGAAGACAATCTGTCCACCGATAGAGATCCAACCTGTCAACCAGGACATTATCTTTTTGCCACGTCCTGGGAAAAGGGCAGTGACCCAATGATACTGGCCTACCACACGTGTTAGCAGAAGACCCAGTTCCCAGTCCGCGAGACATGACGATAACACACCTCCAGCGGTTGGGTATATCGATGCAATCTCGGCGAGCGAGGCGGTAGTTGCAACAGTGCAGATAAAAGTGGCAATGCTTTCACGCATCATCGTGTTAGAAGCATCGTTACTGGTTGTCTTAGCTGAACGACTCACTAATTGTAGACGAGGCACGGGACGCCACCACTAGCCAAGGCTTGCGCAACAACCGAGGCGACAGCTTCCCATGTTGCCATGATGCAGAGAGAGAGACATATCAGAGCCGTGAGGGAAAAGGTGGGTTCCAGCTCGGCATGGAGCCCAAGCTGTTCTAGTCGTGTGGCGTTGGAATTCATGCCATACACCTCTGAGGAAACCCTTGCAGAGGTGTCGGGGTCCTTAGTATCCTTTTGCGTTGAGATCATTATGGATCGGTAAACTAAATATCTGTGATGATGGAGATCGTCCAAACGCAAGTTGATAAGAGGGAAGGGCAGACCTAATTTATAGCTGAGCTTTCCATGCCGGATGCGGGGTTTGAGGGCTCCGAAGTCATGGGTCATGTTTAGTTTTGTAGACTAGGTAGTAGGCGAGACCGGCAACACGGTTCCGATTGATGATTTCACAGCAAGCCGTAGCCTGGTTACATACAGGTACATAAGCATGGATATGAGCAGGGTGGCCAAAGATACGAGATCGGCGGTCTCCGAAGGATCTTCCCAGTCTGCCTCTAAGAAGCAGGTTTGAAATATCATACCTAAAAAATCCGGGCATTGCTGAGTCTTGCCGAAGCCATCTGGTTGATGATGCCTGCTCCCTGTGTGGTAAGCTACCGGTAATGACTACTTTCTTTGAAAACTTGGCCTTTCATTAGCCCTGGAAATTTATATTGAGCAGACGTAAGTCGAGAGATGGTGTTTCCGATATTTATGGTGTTCTGCCTTGAGACTGAAGGTCGCCACAGACACTGATAGTCATGAACTAGGTTCTACGGCCATTTTCTCAATGCAAAACCCAGGTGAGTTTTTCATTTTCTGCTAATGTATTCTACTCAACGTAGTAATGTAAGTAGATAAGAATTTACTTGCTACTGAATGCAGAGATTGACAGTGCAATCATGGTTTAAAACAACTTGATGTCTTGTAATCAGAGACCGAAAGTTTATTGCAATGACTGAAGTTGAGCGGTTGACAAATTCTTGTTGGAAACCGTTAAATCCCTGGGATTTCGGAAGATTTCTGAACTATACTCTCAAAGTTGGCTTATGACCCATTCAATGCCCCGTATAGTATTCTCCATGAAGATACCAAATGTCTCTGGGAGTGTAGGCACATTAAAGAAGACGTGCGGCATATTGTCATAGTGATCCCTCTTAATAGGAACGCCAGCAAGTCTCAGGTATTCTTCCAACACAATACCATCGTCTCGTAGTGGATCAAACTCGCATGTTGCAATATAAGTAGGCGGGAATAGTTTGTGGCTATCACGATCCAGCAACGTGAAGTAATCCAGATCTGTAGGATGAAGACCAGCTGCATTGCTGAACGTTACCAATGCGGCTTTGTCCACTAGTGGAATGCCCGTTGCATTTTCTTCCAACGAGCGGTGCTCCGGTGGTCGAAACACTGCCTCCGGATGTATAGTGACGGGACACAGAGCGACAACGCCCTTCACTGCATGCGAGGGCAGCCCGGTTCGAGATAGCCTGATCTGGCGTGCCGTTGCGAGGGCCAGCATACCACCAGAAGAGGAGCCAAATGTAAATAGTTTGGTGGCATCGGCACCTAGTCGGGCTGCATTGTCAAATGCCTTTTCGCCGTCACCTCAAATGGTTAGTTCTTTTTTACTAAGGCAAGGTGCGGCTCTAGAGAGAAATTACCCATTTGAATGCCTCAATAGCATCGTGTAGGTGGACAGGAGACTTATGTTCCGGCGACAGGCGATAACACACACTGACGATGATTGAACCGGTGGCATGAGCGAGAGTGCCGCACAGGACATCATCACCCTTTGAAGGCCCAATGACGAGCCCTCCACCATGATAATATACTCCCAAGGGAGCAGGCCCACCGGAATGAGGGGGCATAAATATGCGTAGCTTAATCTGGGAGACCTTGTCGTCAACAACCACTACAGTTTCGGGAATAGCTGGCCACGACTGCTCGAGAGCATCACCAAGTGCTCTATACTGAACCCTCATCTCTTCTGGTGTCCCTGACAGCACCGGCCGTGCTCCTCCTAAGCCTTTCTCAAACTGTGCTCACCACTGTCAAGCTTTGCCACACAAAGGTAGTGCGTAATCAGGTGTGCACCTACCTCGAGCCATGTATCAGAGTATTCCCTAACCATGATTGGAATTTGGAGACCTCGGGCCTTGCCGTCGAATAGTTCAATCAACAGGTAAGCTTCAATCAACAGGTAAGCACAAAGAAAGTTTTGTCCTTGCGTTCGTAGTGCAGGCTCGGGGCGATCATTGGCGGCCTAAAACTGGCAGAGAACTTGGAGACGAGATTTCCCTGACAGAACTCAAACATGGGATAGCAAGGGCTTTACTCCGCGTCGTAGCATCCACTTGGCCATGACACCAGTCTGTGTTATTCGCTGTTTCGGACCAGATTTGTCAGCTTCCGATGACAGTTGAAGAGTTCCCGATGGATCATTTACTATCCAAACATTCTCATATCCATGCAGCACTTATCTCGCTTCGGTGCCACTTGGCCCCCCCTGTGCATCGGATAGATACCAGTTACGTGTGGGTGGAGCTTCTTGCCGGGTCCTCGCGCGTTTTTGAGGGCTATGACAATTCGGCTTGGCGTGAGCGAAGATGACTTCCGATGCAGCCGTCTAGTCGTCTCGTACTCGATTCAGGGGCACCCGATAATCTAATTCCGACAATTCTGAGGTACATGCCGGTACCCGGGCTTGTAGTTGGCTCGGAAGGAAGAAAGAAAGGTTTAGAGCAAAGAGACGGGTCGTGTTTTGCCATTCGCAAGTATGGTGTACCGATAGGTTCGTGATGATTTCTAAAGCCTTGCGGTTTTATCAATGATGTCTGCACCGGTATCGCCGAAGTGCAAGCAAAGGTTTTATATAAAGGCTTCAAACTTCGTCACATGCCGTCTCTTCTATCATTACTTCTACGTGCCAACACTTAGCCCTCATTTCTCATATACTTCTCGGCAGGTGAAAGGCTTTTTTGCTACATTACATCATACTCATAGGAAAAACACTCTGCGAACACTCTGCGAACATGGCCTCTTCAGAATCGAAAGCAGATGTAGTTGAGCTTGATGCTCTCATCGTGGGCGCCGGATTTGGTGGCGTCTACCAGCTCAAGCACCTCCGAGACGAAGGATATAAAGTCAGGCTCGTCGACTTCGCCACCGACTACGGTGGTGTGTGGTACTGGAATCGTTACCCTGGCGCCAGGGTCGATAGCGCCATTCCGCAATACGAGTTCTCCGATAAGTCACTTTGGAGTGGTTGGAACTGGTCTCAGCGGTTTCCGGGCAGTGCAGAGCTACGGAAGTACTTCGCATATGTTGCAGAGAAATGGGACTTGCGAAAGGACACCGAATTTGAAACGTTTATAACAGGAGCCACGTGGGACGAGGAGACGAGCAAGTGGAATATCCGCAGCAAATGCGGCAAACTATATCGTGCCCAATTCTTCCTCCTAAACACGGGTTTCTCTGCCAAGAGGTATATTCCCGACTGGGAGGGTATCGACAAATTTAACGGGACTTGGTTGCACCCATCGTATTGGCCTCACGAAGAGCCAGATCTGAAGGGCAAGAAGATTGCTGTCATTGGAACGGGGTCGACTGGTATCCAGCTGGCCCAAGATTTGAGCAAAATCGCCGGAGAGTTTGTTCTTTTTCAGCGCACGCCCAATCTGTGCTTGCCTATGGTCCAGGTTGAATACAAGGATGGCGAGCAGTCGTGGCCAAAACAGCAGTATTCGGAGCTTTTTACCAGCCGGCGAGATAGCTATGGTGGTTTCTTCTTCGATTTTCTCGACCGTAATACTTTTGACGATAGTCCCGAACAACGGCAAGACACATACCAGAAGCTCTGGGACGTGGGCGACTTTCACTTCTGGCTGGCCACATATAAGGACATGCTCTTCGAGACTGATGCAAACAAGGAAGCGTATGATTTCTGGAAGGCCAAGGTCCATGCGCGCATCAACGATCCCAAGCTCCGGGAGATCCTTGCCCCTGAGATACAACCACATAGCTTTGGGTGTAAGCGCATCTCTTTGGAAAACGGTTTCTATGAAATTTTCAACAAGCCCAACGTTTCTATTGTCGATCTCAAGGCCACCCCAATAAGCAGTGTTGACGAGACCGGCATTAACACAACGGAAAAGCACTGGGACTTTGACTACGTTGTATGTGCTACTGGCTTCGATGCTGTTACTGGTGGCCTCATGCAGATTGATATTCGGGGCCCATCAGGCCAGAGCCTGCATGACAAGTGGGAAAAGGGCGTTAAGACATACTTAGGGATGGCTACCGTTGGCTTCCCTAATATGTTCTTTACATATGGGCCGCAAGCCCCAACTGCCTTTTGCAACGGCCCAACATGCGCCGAATACCAGGGTGACTTTATCCTGCGAACACTAAACACCATGAAAACGAAGAACATTAGGCGCATTGAGCCCACAGCTGAGTCAGAGGCTAGGTGGGTGGAAAAAGTGCGTAAAATCGCAAATTCGTCGCTACTACCAACGACCAAGTCGGTAAGTAAATCGTCCCTTCTCAACAAAAAGGAAACTCTTCCATCAGGAGAGGGACTGCTTGTCTCGTGCTTGCTAGGTTACATATTAACTAACCAACCGTTATTTGCTTTAGTGGTACATGGGTGACAACATTCCAGGCAAACCACGAGAATGCTTGGTATACCTTGGTGGTGTCCATACTTATTACCAAATCCTGGAAGAGGAGGCCACTGCGGGGTATCCTAACTTTGTTTGCGAGATTGCATCTTGAGGTTGTACGATGCTGTCGGGTGCTAACAGTCGCTCTCCAATGCGCCAGTGACACTGGGTTCGAAAACATGTAGTCTGTATTAGCAAAGGGGACAAATGCTACCACACATGTGAACAAGATGCCGCATTCAGGAAATGATAGTCATTGCCCTCGGGACCTGATTGAATGTGTACGTGTGCAGCCGATTCGATGAGTGACCCTTGATCCAAAAAGTAGCTAAAATGACTCGCGAGCAATACTTGCCAAAAGCGGAAGGTTCTGCATGCGGGAACTTTGGCAACGATCTTGAACTATTGCATTAATTGGAGGATCACACGATCGGGGCTTCCTGGATAACAAGTAGTACTCGCGTGGAAGGGACCGTTGAAGGGGCTGGTCAGTCTGAAGACTACCACGTCTGCAGGTATTTGGGGTAACCTGTCCAGTTGAAGCTACATAGACTAATCAAAGTAGCCATGCCGTGGATGCGTGGACGATGCACACTCGTGGAGTCTAGCCTCCTGCACCCCAACTTCCCCGCCCTGCCATTTTGGTGATAGACAATTTGCGGAATCCCTCAGGCTGGCAAACGGAGATCGCCCGCCTAATCGTCCATGCTGACTAGACTGAGCATATAAGAATAAGTGACAAGAATCCTGGTCTTTTGCTTGAATGGCGGAGTGATTACTTTGTATGGTAATGTTCTTACTTGCCTTCGAAATAGGTTATCTTGTCCTCTAACTTCCTACTTAGCAACAGAGAACGGAGTTTCTGCTCAGATAACTCCCGGTGTGCACTATGCAATTTCATTACCTACCCTTCGTGGTTCTACATAGATCGCGATACTGAGCTCCTCTTCTTCAAATCTGTTCCTACTCAAAGAGGTATCCACGGCGCTCGAGTCAGTGATTCCCATACACCACATTCATCTTATTGTCCATTGCTGTCTATTTAAATATGCTCCCCGGTAGCAAAATACCGCGTCGGCGCTGTGCCAAGGCTTGCTGGAGCTGCAAGCGCCGCAAAGAGCGATGTGATTCAAATCGACCATGCGGGCGATGCGTCCAACGTGGCGTAGGCGACGGATGCGTCAGTATCAGCGACTCTGCAGACGGATACTTGAGCTACGATGACTCTACAAACGACTCAGCTGATCGACTCTCTCAAAGTCCTCAACCGGATGGTGAACTTCACACAACACCTGGTACAAGCGCAGTCTCTATAGACTTTAGAGAGACCAGCTCAAGCTATGATATGCCTTTCGGCTCAGTGGTCGATGGTGGTACTACACACGCACACTCAGCACATCTCATCCCGACCAAGCGAGACGAGTTTACGTTCATTGGGGATGCGGCGAACCTCGTATTTGTCCAGATCATCCATCGCCTAGTGGCTCGAAACTTGGGCGGTTGCGAGCTTTCGGATGGAGTTTCTTCTCATGCTGTCGTTGAGGCTGCTCCACTGAGCCGCAAAAGGTGGATGTTAGAGGCTGCTCGAGATCCTCCTCACCCACCAAACTACGATGAGACAGCACATTTTCTAGAATGGTACTGTAGGGCCACTAACTGCATCTTAAACGTCTTCAATGAAGCCGATTTGCGCAAGACTTTGCTACAGTGGCAGCAAGATACATCCCACCGCCGAAATGATGACCCCCTCGTCGCCGTTTTCTACCTCGTGCTCGCCATCGGAGCCCAAGCCAGTCCCAGAGACTTCGATGAGACTGCTGAGAAATACTTTTGCTACGGCGCTTTCCTGACAACCACGGCAGCAATGATGGATGCTATTACTATCTCCACCGTCATGGCCAACTTGCTCATCACCATGTATCTCCTTAGCTCGTCACAACAAGATGCAGCATTTCTATCGTTCGGTTCCGCTGTTCGAGCAGTTTACGCTTTAGGGATACACCGTCGAGAGATCAATGAGCTCCTGGGCCCCGACCAGTGCATGATACGAGAGCGGCTCTGGAAAGCCACCCGTATATTGGACTCGTTCATGAGCTCATCCTTGGGGCGACCCCTCTCAACAACAGAAACCCGAGATACTCAAGCTGAGGTTGATTATTCGCCCTCAACTGATCTTTGTGCCATATTTGAGATCACATTGGCCAGGGTCTATTGTACACGAACAGCAAGCTCGAATGTGATGCAGGAGATCAGTGCACGCCATCGAACGTGGGCCACGAGATTCTCGGCCGGACTCGCTATCGATGACATCCAACCTGAGCTGCTCATCAACACAAGTGAAGGTAGGAAAGTCCCTAACATAGGACTATACCACCTCAAAGAGGCATATTATTGGTCAATCATGCTTCTAACTCGTCCCTTTCTTATTGAGTCTGCCGCGAGGCATCTCGAACAGAGCGTGGACGGTGCCGCTACATCAGACACACAGCTCCTGGTAGATACATCATCACCTAGTTTCATACTGGCGCATGCGTGCATTGATTCGGCCATCCGCACAGTGGACTTGCTCATAGTCTTGGATTCTTATGATGAGATACCGAAGAGGTTGCCGTTCGTGGTCAACTCGCTGTTTCTCTCTGCTTTGGTCCTTGGCCTGGCAGAATTAGGAGGGTTGGACCACACTCTTCCTGTGCGTAGATGTCTCGCCGATGCTCAGCGACTGCTTTCGCGCTTCAGCTCACACGACGCTGTTGCTCAGAGAGATCTCCTCATTGTGAAACGACTGCACGATACCTGCATCATGCAAGCCGAGAACCGCACCCAGCGGACCATGGCCAAGAATAGCGAGCGTTTCGGTGGTTTATTCGGCATGATTCACGAATACAGAGTGTCTGCATCTCCCCTAGCCGACATAAACCAGCCACGGAATAAAATTGGTAATATGAACGAACATCTTCGCACCATAAATGACAACCATCTCGACAAACAATGCCGCACACCGACGCTGGACTACCCCCCAGACCAGCCCCATCTACCAACCCAGGCAGATCAACAAACCTTCGAGATTCTTCCAGATTTCGATATCATGGCAAATCTTTTCATACCTATGCCTCCATCATTTGCTCATTCGGACATAAATGGTGACGTATTGAATACCATTTTGCAACTGGAAGGGGACTCCTTTCCATCTGAATGTGCACAGGATATCCCCAACGGCTTGTTTAGTCTATATCAATAAAAAGCATCATAAAAATCGTAAAACTCTTGTTACTTGCATAAAACGACCCTTGTTCACTACTGGCCCTACATGCGTGTTGCTCAACGTTTCGGTGTCATGAGACTTTTTAAGTAGTCCTACTAGGTAATCTTACGAGGACGAAGCCTCAATGTTTCCCCGTCACTCCACACGCTTCACTACACATCGCGTAGGTCTACTGTCCGACGAAATATTTTATCCACCGGTAAATTTGTCACGCTACGAACATTCTCCAGCGTTGCTATGGACGGCCATGGTGACTTTAACAGCTCTCACCGGCGCGAGTAATAGTCAACGTTGCCCCCGGTCCAGCGTATCACCACCGGTCTTTCGCCGTCCTAGTCGAGGCAGATGATGCTACGACTCGACCGCTCTGCCGGCCGGCCGTTCATCCTATCCGACCCCATTCACCAGCGGACGATTGGGTGAGCAAGCCGGAGCTCAGTACTTACAGTGATCCAAATCGTCGAGAATGAAATCACCTTATACCATGGCACACTACGTCTGGAATGGGAAATAGTACCAGTGAATTCCTCTGACTTTCCCTTTCTACGAGAATGAGCTCAAGGCTTAACAAGCTCTCTGGAAAAACTCCCCGATCCTGGAGATGCCAGATGGGCCTCTATTCTGGTATTCAGCCGTTCAGAATCAGTCACTTCGGACGCATGGATGACTCAGATAGCAGGCCGAGAGCTGACTGATCTATGGGTTACATCTAGCTTGCAAAAACTCATATTGTAAGTCAGTCATTCTCTATTCCTGCACGCATCGCTTTCCTGCTTTCTAACTCTACTTCAAGTTCCCAGAAGGCGCACTAGAGCTGAGCCTCGCCTCGGCGTTCCTTTCACGTTCACAACTCTCTACATTAGTTTGGTATTGTTTAGCGGGAAAGTTAACCCCAATGTGCTGGAAACTGGACAATTGAGTCCGGATGCATGTAGAACAGATACGAGATACACTTGAATGAGACTGAAGCAACGATTGAGACAATAATATCAAAATCCTCCGCGGCCTGTAGTAAGATAAGGGGAGAGGAAAGTAGGCAGATTCCTTTAGCCTCCTTGCCGACGGTAGACGGAATGGTACAGGTTTGTCCATGTTAACTATCAGAAGCTGTCGAGATCCATGATGAACTCCCAGCCCGTGTCGAAATCTACCGACGCCTCTTCCATATAGGACAAGAAGCCCAGTTCTGGCATGTGCTCCATCCCCCACGGTGCCTCCGAATACGCAGAACTTGGCAACGCCAGGTCTTCGGTCGCGGGAGTAGAGTTGCTACCAGTCGTCGACGAGGATGGTCGGCCAATATTTAAAGCATGGCTATCACATGTATTCGAGTTTATCATAATGCTTTGATCAACCTGGGCGGTCTGCTCTACGGTTTGGACACCTTTTTTGACGACTGTGCCAAAGAACGGAATGCGGACCTCTTCGTCCGTACTCGATCTTGATAGCAGAACCGTAAGCGTCTTGCGACATTGCGACGCGATGCGACAATGTTCTTGATTCTCCTGGCGTTGCAAGCACCGGACTAAAGACAGCACAGCCTCGATGTCATTCGCATCACTTGACATCCTTGGGCCGGAGGAGCTTGAGCAACCTAGAAGTAAGACAATGGCGCCGGTAAATGCCATAAAATCTACGAGTTTGCACTCAGACGGGCTCGGTTTCTCCGCGTCATGATGCAGAGCCAGGTAGCGCCTCAACAGCTGTCGTGCAGCCTCCATGCTGGCGGCGCGCATGATTGAACCGTGCACAGAGCTTTCCTCGGAACCGCTGAGGAACGGTAGGTAAATGTAGAGTTGCAGGTGGAAGAAGAAGAGCTGCTGGTGCAGCCGAACATGAATTTCGTCGAAGTCGTGGCCATCGGCTTGGACCCGGTCAGGAAGCTCCCACCAGGTTTCTGGGAAAGACGTTGCAAGCCCATTCATCTCCTCTTCCAGTTCCAGTGTCTTGGAGATGGATGCCTTTGTTCGCGAGTGGTTTCGGTCAATGACCTTTCCAGCTATCATCGCACAGCGGATGGTCATAGTCGAATCCACGTAGTCATTTTCGGGCTTCACCTCTAGGATTTGCTGATGGTGCATGTCGACAAAACCGTACGGCAGCCCGAGGAACATGCTCATCATGCGGTCTGCTTGGTAGATGGACAACCAGAGCCGTCTCTTGGCTGTTGACCGGAGGCCAGCCTGGTACAGGTCCTTTGACATCATCAGCTTCCAGCACTCGTCTCCGGAGCGGGATGTTGGGGTACCGTTAATTGCGCGACCACCACTCCTCTGCGATAGATCATCCATGATCTTCTGGGCTGGCCCTCGTCTGCATAGAGAATTGCCAACAAGATTAGGCACTCCAAGCCTTCTACCGTAGACATTAATGCCATGTCAGAGACAACAAGGCGATCGACCAAGGTGTAGATGGAGGACCCATCAACATCAGAAGTGAAAGCGAACGCAATCGCCATTTTGCCCAGTTCTGAAGGATGGTCGCTCGTGTAAACTCGCCTCACGAAGTCTGGGAGAGACTCAATCGTATCATCGTATATGCCACGAACAGCGATGTGTATTCGAACCCACCAGCCTTTGTGCGCCAATGCAACTTTCATGATAGAATCATAGGACGGTAATCCTGCACGTAGTGTCTCGCATATACTTTCCCCTCGGTCGGGTAAGAGTGGCTCAGGCAATCTGCTGGATACACGAGATGACCTGCGGTCACCTGTTGACGAATGAGACGTACTGCTGTCCCTGGCTAGACGTGACACACCGGCATCGTCCGCCTTGGGAGATTTAGAGAGCTGTGCTAGCTCGTCAATGCTGAACGTACAACTGCATGTTGACACAGGGGGCTTACTCCAGACGGGCCCAGAACCGCGAGAAAGGGTGCTCGCTGATCTGTGACACTGTTTTCCAGGACTTCTGGAGCCTGTGGGACGTCCAGAGGGGCCTCGCTGCTGCGGTTTGTAGGAGAGTCGGATTCTGGGCGCCGACGCAACTGCAGTCTGGCATCATCACCGCTCTGGTTTACACATGGTGTGCGTCGAGATTTGCAGTTGAAACAGACTGAAGCTCCTGGCATCGAGTCGCACCGAATCTTCCGACGGCGACCTAGACAGATACGCATGAGCTGGGGCGCCGGAGCAGTTGGGCGGCGGATAGAGGTACTCGCATTCTGTGCAGCTGTGCGTCCCTTTCCGCATGGTTTTCCGTGTCGGCGTCGACGCGGATGCAGACGCAGACGTCCTCGGGGAGCCGCGCACCATGCTTGAGACGTTCGGATGGATAATGTGGCCTGTCGAGTCACTGTAGTCTGTGCGCGGTCGAAGTGAAGGGAGAGTTGCAGGTTGCCGCGGATGAATTGGCAAATTCGTCCGCGGACGAAATGGGCCAATGAGATGGGGCGAAATGAGCCGATGTGCTCCACCTTCAACTGACTGTTGTCGCCAGGCTTGACAATGACTGCCGGAGGAAGTTCGTCGTCGAATTACTAATGACTGTGTCTGACTCGAAAGACTCCAGGGGTTGTTAAGAAAAGCCTTGTTTTGTTTATTAATCATCTTTTTCGTGCGCGGACGAGCCTTTCTTCTTGATCTGCTTGCTTAGGTCGTACCTCATTATGCGGCATGCCCCGGTATATAAGAGTCTCCTCGTCACGAATCGAGGTATTCTAATTGAGAACATTACCAACTTGGATTTCATGCTTTAACTGCCTATCTCTAATAAAACCACAAGCTCGATTTCTCTTCATTATTATCATCTTTTCCCTTGAGGCACTACAGATCGCGACAATGGCACCTCTTGTATGGCTTGTTACAGGAGCCTCGGCGGGAATTGGAGCCGCACTTGTGGAGGAAATCGTCCGTCGAGGCGACAAAGTCATCGCTGCCAATAGACAGGTCAGTCAGATGGCCGATCGCGCTTCGGAGAATGTGTCGCTTTTTGAGCTCGACATCACGTCTGGTCCCAAGGTCATTGCAAGCAAAGTCAAGGAGGCCTGGCAGATTTTCGGACACATCGATGTTCTGGTCAACAATGCCGGCACATTCTTGCTCGGTCCCTTCGAGGATGTTAGGTAGGTCAGGTCCATCTTTGAGGTAGAATCTTATTAGCTGACTCTAATGCCTTGCGCAGCGATGAAGACGCAGAACGCATCTTCCAAACCAACGTCTTCGGTCAGCTTCACATGACGCGGGCCATTCTCCCATTCTTCCGCCAACAGGGCTCAGGAACAATTACATTCACCGCCTCAAACCAACTCTGGGGCAACATGCCCTACACGACATACTACAACATGACCAAGTGGACGAACAGCTCCTTTGCCGAGTCGCTGCACAAAGAGGTTTCCTCTCTCGGCATCCGCTGTGTCGCCTTTGAATGCGGCGGTGTTGCCACGCGCCTCTTCGAGCCACGTGAGAAGGACAAAGTAGCGTCGAAGCAGAAGAAGGAGGAAAAGAGTCCCATCGAAGCCTACGTGCCAGGATTTGCCGCTGCCTCGCAGGTTCTGGCCGAATGGGGAGTGCCTCCGGGAGACCCTGCCAAGGTCGCAAAGGCAATGGCTGATATTGTCAAGGGTGAGGGCATGGCGGCTGGCAGAGTCTGGTCTTCACGGGTTGCTTTGGGTTCGGATTCTCTTCGATGGCAGAAGATTAAGAGACAACAGGAGGCTGTAGTGATGGATCGGTGGGAGGATGTCACCATCAGCACAGATCGTGACGATGCAGTGCTCTCTAACAAATTGGATCATTTTGCTCTAATAGCTGGGGCTGAGTAATATTAAACATAAGGATTTATAGCTATGTATATAAAAAAAGAGGGCTTAGCCTTAACTTAATAGTATTAGAGTCTCTCTCCCTTACCGATCAAAAAAGGAGATATAGGGATCAAAGAACGAAAACCCATCTAATGTCACTTGGCCATATATAACATCCATATTTTTACGAATCCCGTTTATCCGATTTCGATAGCTCATAGCGGACTGGCTATCATGTTCTTGTGCTACCGTTTGCTCCAAGTAGCTCCAGGATACGGCCAGTATTCCCTTGGGGCTTTTTGCGCATAGCAATACTTAAGCTACTGGTAAGAAGATTCCTAAAACGCCCCGAAGTTAGTGATAGTTCTATTGAGAATGATGGGAGAGTTGAAGTCATGTTTAGGAAACGGTACTTCGAAGACCTTTGCTTACTCTGCTCTTGAGTCTCACGAAGTTGGAGGAGCACAGAGGCGAGTTTATAAGCCGTGGCTGCTACAGTAGCGTCGCCAGGCTGGTGTTTTTCTCGTAGTTCCAAAGCTCGTTGATGCCACGATTTGGCTTCTGCAAATTCTTTAAGATCTTTGTGGATGTCTCCAGCAATAAACTCACCAGCCGCAACTATACTGCCCACATCATCAAAAAGATTGAGTCCCGGAAAGATCACGTCCAGCGTCAATGGTTACAAGATGCTTCAAGCAATCTTCGTATGATCCTGGAAGAGCCAATGCCATTCTCTCTGGGTCGCCGTGGCATTAGGGCGCCCGCCTGAGAGCATGTCCTTGTTCTGGGGGCTGTTCCATCTTCGCATTACACGAAGAATTATTACGTTGTTTCTTCTCCTCTCTTCTCTTTTTTTTTCCGATTGGAATCTTTATCATTTACTGCCAACAAATCGGAGCGAGAGGGAAGATGCCTTGGGCAAGTGGGGATCCACCAAAACTCACCGGCCAGCGATCATGTCTGAGGCTCTTTTGTCCAAGGCTTACGGCGCAAACTACTATTTTCAACTCAAATGTGTCATAGATACAAAATATAGTAAGCTGACGAGCTGATGCTACGATAAACAATAAGAATGCAAGTTGAGCCGTATCTGCAAGTCTTGTGATACCTTGCTGCACGGTGAAAGTGAGGGGTAGAAGTATTAGGAAGTACTCATTCGTACCTTGAACAATTACGAATATAGTCATTGTAACACGTCAAAGATTCGCTCCAGCCAATGTTCCATGCGACTCAGCTTGTGTTGGAAAGGGAAACATGCTGTTGGTTCTTATCTGGCCGGTGGTGATATTAATCGTAACTACATTGAGATGGCCTAATCATAATTTAACTTGATATTTCTATTCTCTCTACTAATATACTAATATATAGCGACACCAAAGGAGCTACAATACAGTATCTAATATATTTCTATGGTAATATTCGAATTTCACCGCCTGAAATAGGTAAATTTAGGTTGCTCATGAGGCGGCTCCCCGGGTATTTTGTGAATTTTTTGCAGCATTACGAGCTGGTTTATTGCATGTGAGATATTCTAGTTCAAATCGAATTAGATATTGAATCCATTTTCTCATCTCATATTCCATGATTAATTGCAATGGTTGGTTAAAAGTAAGGCATTTTTAGGAGAAATAAGCCACACGATTTCTTTTACAGGTGAAAATCTGAACGTGAAGGCCTGAATCTTGGCCAGGCTCTGCCTAGCTCAGGTCCGGGGTTCCACGAGAAGGAAATATTGCCTCCCAGGCACTCATAACCTCGATAAGTTTTGGCTCAGTATTTGGTAGCCCTAACAACTGAGCCCCAAACGGATGTCCATTGATTTTGGCATATCCGAGTGGTACTGTAGCTGCTGGTGTCACTGTACGAGAGGGTCAGAGCCTAACATTAAACAATCGCATTCAAAATGTATTTACTGCTACCTGTTGAGACTGACTGGGCTGGGCTATCCACTGGCGCTACAACAACGTCTAAATTGTGCTGCCGAATCGTTTTCTCTGCCCCATCTTTACCAGCTTTGGAATAAAATAGGTCTCGAAGAGATGGGAGGTCGTCCGGTTTCACAGTACTCTCCGCTGCAGCAATTAGATCTTCCTGGCCCGTGTTGCCTATTGCCTGTCAGTAGGAGGCTCTATAACATGGCACTGAGAAATTTTGACGAACCAGGTGGGAGCTCCATGTCCGGATTCTGCTTGTTAAAAGCAATCACCTCGTCAAGGGTCTTCACTGTCGAGTTTTCAAGAGATTGAAAATATTCGTTAAGACAAATCTTGACCTCGGCATCTACATGCTCATGTCAGCAACTTACACCTGACATCCTACGATAGCCTAAAGCGCACTCGTGATGGATCCCAGCAGGGGCTCGCCTCTGTGAAAGAATGTTTTATAGGCCGGGATTTCGACAGGATAAACCACCTGCCCTCCCAAATCCCGGATACCCTTCATAGCCAACTCGAATTGTGCTTTCTCGGGGGGGAGTTAGAAAGGTTTTCCACTGTATCTGTAGGAAGTCAGTCACGATTTCACCAGGGAAACTTGGGTCGGCTTCCTTGGTATCATCCTCAATCGCCCATAGGTCCGGGCCTACGAAATCTATTCTCAGTCCAGTGAAGTCCTTCCGTAGATAGTTGGTGAGAGTGCTGTCTACAGTAGCTGTTTTGTCTTTTTGCAAAAGCAAGCCTGTGACAACTGCAACCTCATGAATTGTCTTGGCAAAGGCACCGATGGTATCCCAAGCAATGGTGATCTTGCAGATGCCGTCAGTATTAGCGGCACCTGGGGTAATTTTGAGCGTGTAGACACGTGCACGCCCAGCAGGCGTGATCAATGACCCGCACGTCTCCGTGCCAATCGCAATTGGGATAAAACCGGCAGCAGCCCCGTGGGCGGAGCCAGTTGATGAACCTCCAGGGGCCTATGGTTGGATTAGAAGTCGATATCACTTGCGAGCTTGCCACATTCGCTTACAGTAGGACCTCGCGGCGGATCGCCTCGCCTTCTTTAAGCCCGCCGGGAACGTACGGTGATTGACCTTGCCCGCCAACAGTGGACCACCCAACGTTGCCTCTGGTATCTTGTTAGTTATCATTTCCCCGGATAGAGACCGTTGAAAGAATGATGCCGTTGCCTACTTGCAGCCACAAAATTCCTTTCCATTCAATTGCATTAGTTTAAGCAAGCTGCAACATTGGTTTTTCTTTCAACTCACCGAAAGGTTGCTCTTCCCCATCAAAATCATGCCGGCACTAATCAACTGGATTGGTAAGGCGCAGCAGTTACGGACGTAGGAGTCTTCTCGTACAGCGTCTATTGCCGCCGCATTATGTTTAGGCTTCGATCATTGCAGGGCAAATGAGCCTACCGTCGTGGGCAGCCCAAATTCAGGAGCTGTAGCGAAAGCATCCTATGCACTCAAGCGTCAGAGAAGAAAAAAGGCAGAAGAAAACAAAAAGAAAGAAAACAAAAGAAAAGAAAATCCTCCCAACCATGGCTATGAATGGAATGCCATGGAACACGCCTCAGGACTTTCCAGCTGAGCGTTCTTCGTCACGTGCTCGCGCCTCGTCGAGTAGCTCCTCACGGTCGCGGAGAGAGACAATGAGATTCAATTTAGCCCCAGACGTATTGTGCCGACGGATTTGGCCCAGATATGCTTCGATATTCTGAACACTAGGAGTTCGCCAAATGGTCGCGAAGCTCCAACGCAGTTGTTGAGAGCACATCGATGGGCGGGTGAGTGATAGACGTGGTGTTGGCCGCCATCTGGAAAGCAATAGCACCGAGGGCTGCTTGGGCAAATCCAGTACCAAGGCAGAGGAACCAAGGGAGCCTACGAGAGAAGATCTTGGGAGGGCGTTTTCGATGACACGGGCGCAGACAGGCCGAGAAAGCAAATGATATCATTGAAGTTGGGCAGACAAAGACTGGTTGTTTTGTTGTGGGAACATTATCGGGCCACTATTGCAAGGGTCTGTAGCAGTTTCGGAGCGCCTCTCTGAGGCAGGTCGCCTATCGCAGATATTTGGTAATTTATAGGCAGGTTCATATCTACCTAGATAAACTCGTAGGCCTCTCAACTGTGAATAAGAGCCTCTCAACTATGAATGGGACCTTGCCCCTCCCTTTCACAGATCCCAGGAGTACCCAACAAGTGCAGCATCGGAACAAAGGATACGTACCGATGAGCGAGCGTTATGCAACTCCTACTCTCCCATCATATATGTGGAAGAAACATCCCAATGGCTCTTATGAGTTAAACCTTATGATTTACGTGACATTATTATATGATATTCCTGTCTGGTATCTATCCACGATCGAATCTCCGTTTACATTTTGAAAGCACGTGGGGACCGATTCTTCCGGTGGTTCTGATCAACCTTTGGCTGTATGTGATGCTCGTACCGTTCAGATCTAAGATCTCATCTCGTGTGGCCGCATTGTCGTAAACAGGCTTGGTGAGAATATATCTTCTGGTGTATAATCTGCAATTAGAATGATACTTAGTGGAACACTAAAAACAAAATGAGGTTCTCGTCTTTACCACCTGTTCATCTGAGAATGATGGATGGGCTCATAGTATGTACCCTTCGCTCCATATCTTCTCCCCCTCATCCCATTGAGCCTATCATTAATAAAACATGGATAAAGCCTGTCTACGCTCGTCTTTTGCGAACCCTCGGACTCCGGTAGATAGCAGCCAAGCCTCGGGAAAGTCTTGAAACGAGGTCAACGAGCGTGAAAAAGAAAGAAGATGACAATATAAACTGTAATGACTCTGTAGTAAGTCAATTTTTGAAAATCCAGGATTCATGGTGTTTTTTCTATTTACTTGAACATTCTGATTTATAATAGGAAATGTTCATTTTATTTGTCTATCTATATTGAAGTCTTCCGCATAATTAACCTACCCTATACCCTTGCAACCTCGATTGAAAAGTTCGTTCCCGTCCCACTCAACCTTTCCTACCTACGCACAATTCAGTGCCTACCTAGTTGATCAAAGATCAAGGTATCATGGCGTGGTGCCGAACAACATTGAGGCGAATGCCCCCTTGTAAATCATCGATTTTTTCTCCATATTTATCTTTGCATCCTCGACGTTGCATGATAGCGCCTTCTTCATAGACACTACGCATCCTTCGTCGCAGATTGCAGTTGTTTTCCACGAAGCTCCCACGATCAGAGCCGCGCACCTTCCCCTCCCATGGGTTTGATGTCATTGACAAAGATCAGCTCACCGAAGAAGAAGAAATGCCTGAATATAAGCCCGAGCACTTTTATCCTGTCCGCCTAGGCGAAGTATTTCATGACAGGTTCCAAATCATGACCAAGCTCGGCTTCGGCTCGTCCTCCACCATATGGCTTGCACGAGACCTCCAGTAAGGGCTTGGCTAGTTACGATGAAAAACCCAGCTTACCATAGATATCTAGAGACCATCAATATGTGGCTCTCAAAGTCTACATTCATAATTCTACCAAACACCGTGAGCGTCCTTTTTATGAGCATCTTAACAAGGTCCTTCCCAGCCACCATATAGGCGCCGCCAATGTCAGGAAGCTTGTGGACTCTTTTGAAGCATCTGGACCTCACGGCAAGCACATTGCCCTAGCTCTTCAAGTTTCTCAAATGAGTTTGCGTGATATGGACACGGTTTTCATGAAAGGTCGTGGGTTTGACGAGGAGTTCGTCAAAGGCGCTATCAAGGAACTTCTTGAGGCTATTGATTTTTTGCACACCGAAGTTCAGGCAGTGCATACAGGTCAGTGACATTTCTTCCCTTCGTATCTTTTATGCACAATTTATTGGACAATGTGACGGATGTTGACTGAAACCAAATCAGACGTGCATCCGGGTAACTTGTTGCTTGGTTTGAACGATAACTCCTTTTTCAAGACGCTGGAGGACAATGAGTTCTCGAATCCTGTTCCTCGCAAAGAATTATTCGATCGAACTATATATTTCTCTCGTCTCATGAAGCCAAAGGTCGGCCCACTCCTTCTCTCCGATCTTGGGGAGGTCAGATTAGGACCTGGGCCCCATGTGGGCGATATCATGCCGATCATGTATAGAGCTCCCGAGACGCTCCTATGTATTCAATGGAGTTACCCAGTTGACATTTGGAGCGTTGGCCTCACTGTGGGTCGAACAAGAGTGGTCTTATATTCTCAGTTTGATGCTAAATATCCATAGGCATGGAATCTCCTTGAAGGGAAGCCACTCTTTAGCGCCCTTAAAAGCGATGGAACCTTGTCGGACGGAGCGCATTTCTCTGAACTCACCGCCGCTCTGGGACCACCGCCTGCTTCGTTGCTTGCTAGGCACCGTGAGAGAGCACTGGAGTATTGGGATGAGGACGGTAGGTGCATCAACATATGAGCTATTGTGGGGCTTTGCTGAGTATCCTTCTCATCATCAGGTAAATGGGGCGATTTCGTTCCTATTCCCGCAGAGAAAACCCTAGAGGCATCCGAAACAAAGTTGACGGATAAGACCAAGTTCCTCCAGTTCATACGAAGAGCACTCACTTGGGACCCTAACGAGCGTCCAACTGCTAAGGAGCTTTTACAGGACCCATGGTTGGTATAAAATTGAATGAATAGGCTGTTCCAACATTGCTATATTATGTTGCAATATTCTTAGTACCTATTGTATTTATAGTTAAAGTCTATAACATCGATTGGAGTCTAAAGAAAGCAAAAATAGAAGAATGAATAAACAAAGGAAATCTATATCGACAAATGGTTGTGGTTCCCGTCGCCACAGTATGGCCTGAGTAGGACGCCTTGACCTAAAACTCTATACGTGATGATTTATATGAATTCAGAAAATAGATTTCGTGCGCAAAGAACTTCCGCCATAGCTTGGTACCCATTTTCAAGGTGTATTAGGCGTCCAAGCTTTGACTCTCACACATCTTCTTATACATCCCACCCTCTGCAATCAAGGAAGAGTGGGTGCCCGCTTCAGCGATTCGGCCGTTGTGGAACACAAAGATGCAATCAGCATCCTTGACAGTTGACAGACGATGGGCAACAGCGATAGTGATCCTGCTACTAGACGAGGCAACCTCCATGAGCGCAGCTTGAACCACCCTTTCAGACTCCGTGTCAAGAGCGCTCGTCGCCTCATCGAGAAGAATCACACTTGGGTTTCGAACCAGAGCTCTGGCAATAGCAATACGTTGCCTTTGACCACCGGAAAGCTGGCTACCTCCAGCGCCGCAAAGTGTACCCAGGCCATCTGATAAGGAACTGACAAAGTCCCATGCATTTGCAGCCCGGCACGCAGCCTCAATGGCTTTATCGTCAACAGCTTTGCCAATCTCTGACATAGCATTCTTATCGACACCCATGGCAATATTGTCACGAATGCTTCCGGGAAACAATGTTGGCTCCTGCTGGACGAGTGCAACATGGGCGCGGTATAGCCGAGGGTTTAGATCCCTCAGAGGAAGCGTCGAATCAATTACGATAGCGCCGTTGGTAGGGTCATAGAATCGCTCAAGTAGAGAGATCATGGTGCTCTTTCCACATCCTAGAGCAGTGTCAGTCACTGCACAGCACACAGGGTAAATGAAAGAAGACTTACCTGACGCTCCAACGAATGCAACAAACTGACCGGGTGTGATCTTGCAAATTTCTGTTAGTTTTGCCTTTCGGATTTGTGCGAAATGGGAACTTACTTTGAGTGACACGCCTTTGAGAACACGATGACGAGGTGCCAGGGGATAAGAAAACTCCAGGTTGTCTAGATGATAGGACTTGCAACCGTCAGAGGGACCTCTTTTCTCATTCTCGGCCGTTTCCAAGATAGATGGCTGGAGACTTTTGATCCAAAAGAAGTAGTTTGCAGCCGAGTTGGCTTTTGTGAAACCTAGACGAATGTTAGGCTGCTCAGTCTGCTTGTGACGAGAAATCGGCGATGCAAGCAACCGGACAGTGATGACTTACTGCTTGCGAAACTGAACAGCTGTCCTGCTCCTTGACCAGAAAAGTAAACAGCCATAAAGGACACAAAGAATTGGTAAAAAGTAATTTCTCCTTCAGCTACCAGCTTGGAGCCGTACCAGAAGCCCAAGGCCAAAATACAATACTCTATCGACTGTGTCAAGGAAAACCAAATCATGATGGTGAACAGAGATGCCTTGGACCCGTGGATGGCATGATCCAGCTCGTCCGTATATCTCCGGAGCACATCATCTTCAATGGCTAGCGAGGACACTGTTCGAATAGCAGTGACGGTTTCCGACGCAATTGAAGCACTGTTGGAGAATCTTGCATCGATTTCGGCATCCATCCTAGTCTCAAGTCGAATTCTCGCATAGCCTGATAGTATCATGGGAGGGAACCCAGCGCAAACACCGACAAGGCCTAATTTCCAAGAAAAGGCGATGGACATTATAGCGCACACAAAGACAGAGACAAGCGCCATCAAAACGATAGCAATAGTGAAGCCCATAAGCTCGAAGATTGACTGGGCAAATGAATCAATCTTGCTAGTTAGTGCGCCGACAGTGTTTTCAGGTCGGTCAAAGAAAGCGAGATCTTGGCGGATAAACGAGGAAAACATGTCTTTTCGAACTTTTTCTGCAAGAGTCTACGCGAGATTATCAGTCGTTGCTCAAAAGGCAAAACGGGATTCTAGAGTGCAAGGTAACAAACCTGAGCAAGCACATTAGTTGCCCAACCAAGCACGCCATAGATGAGAAGTAAGCCAAGCGCCATGACGAAGAACATGAGTGCCAGGAAGTTGGCTCTCTTTTGCATATCTTCGGCTTTGAACAAATCCATAACTTGACCGATAAGGACAGTCTGACCTGGGTAGACACCAGCTAATCGGGGCAATTAACACCATACTTTGAGTCACTTTCTAAAATTTGGACAACTTACCTCCAACTATACAAGTCAAAGCCACGAGTATGTACCAGCTCTTGATCTCGGGGGTAAACCTAACCAGTCTCCAAATCGTCCTCACAATGCCGGTGCCCTCGTGTAAGCTATAGTCGCATTGTTTAGACAAGGCAGCCTTTCTATCAATCTGGCTCTGTTCTTGTTGTAAAGTATTGGTCGGTTTGAGAACAATGTCCTCGTCAGCTACGTCGAAATCATCAGAAGAGTCTTGATCGTTATCGGGTGCGGAAAGATCCTGGGCTCTAACGAGCGAGGCATAAACACCGTGGCGAGCAACAAGGTCCTCGTGTCGCCCCTGTTCCAGAATCTTGCCTTTGCCCATGACAACGATGTTGTCGGCATTTCGAACTGTCTTGAGCTTGTGAGCAATAACAATTGTTGTGCGGTTCTTTGAGGCTTCATCCAGGGCCTTCTGAACCACAGCCTCAGCGTAGGGATCCAAGGCACTTGTAGCTTCGTCAAGCAGAAGGATTCGAGGTTCTGAAATAATGCTGCGAGCAATGGCGATACGTTGCTTCTGGCCACCGGAAAGGAGTCCTCCTCTCTCACCGATACGCGTATCATATCCATTGACAAGCTCCTGGATAAAATCATGGGCAAAGGCTGTCTTGGCAGCGGCTTGGACACGTTGCATCTTGTCGTCGAGAGACGAGTTTTCCCACGGTGTCCCTATCAAACCGTTGGCTATATTATCAAACACGGAACCGTTGAAAAGCACAGGCTCCTGCTGAACGAGGCGCACATGTGTCCGAAGCCATTTCAGGTTGAGGTCTTTGATTTCTTGACCATCTAACGTGATCGAACCAGCACTCGGATTATACCATCGCTCAAGCAGGCCAATAATTGTGCTCTTTCCAGAGCCACTTGGTCCCTGAATATTTTAATTAGTAAGCTTTTGGGAGAGGGGCGTGAAGGGGGGACTTACAACCAAAGCTGTCACTTTGCCGGCTGGAACATGGAGGCTGAAATCATCGAGGACACATATATCAGGGCGAGTTGGGTAGCTAAAAGTGAGGTTACGGAGTTCAATGACACCCTGCGTATTCTGAGGAACTTGCCCTGACTGATCAAAAGGATTAATGCTCGAAGGCCTGCCAATGAGCTCAAATAGCTCGCCTGCGGCCGTGCCCGCTCGTCCAAAGGTTACCAGATGAGGCGCAAGAGAGTTGATAACGGCTGCAGCCATGATGACAGCAAACAGGACGGTAAACATTGTGCCCATCTCAGCAATTTCCCCTTGAACCATCATTCTAATACCTTGCCAAAAGGCTAGAGCCATTCCAGCAAAGATGACAAAGTATTCTCCGGCGAACATGATGGCGTACAGGACATTCTTCTTGTTGCCAAGAGTCCTCGCTTCGCCCAGAATTTTCGAGTATTCGTGCGTCATTCTCGGCACCAACTCAAACGCCTTTATCGTTCGGATGCTTGCTAGAACAGTCTCGGCCAAGGAGCCGGCTCGCGCATAGGTTTTGAGTATCTTCGTCTCGATACTAGCATCGAGAGCACCGGCGAATCCGGCTACCAGCAGCAGCGCAGGCACAATAGTTGAGAGGATGAGAGTTAGCTTCCACTGGCTGATGAAGGCGATAATAAAGGAGGCAACCAGGGTTGATGCGGCCTGGAAGACTTGTCCAAGCTTTTCCGAGATGCCAGACTGGATAAGTTTGGCGTTGGAAGTCACCTGCATAGAGATGGATCCTCCAGTTCCCATGTCAAAGAAGCCTACTTCTTGGCCAAGGGCTGATTTAAGGTATCGGTAGCGCAGGTTCCGGGTGATCCTGAGGGCGACGTAGGTGAGAAGGGATGAGTAGACATAAGTGCAGACTAATCTAGCGATGGCAATGTAGATGAAGTACAAGCTGGGATATTACTTAGTTAGCTTGCTGATTGGAATAGAATAAGGAGGTAATAGGACATACGCAGCCTTAGAAACTGCGGACATGAAATTACTCGGCGCGCCAGACGATGCAGAAAACTCGGTCATGATGGTGATGAAGTCTCCGATGACGAGATTGACCATGGCAAGGGCAACACCAGATCCAATGGCGGCGATGATTCCGACTGAAAGAAGGACATAGTCGAAGCCTTGCGCATAAGAGAAGACACGCTGGATAGTTTGTGAGTTGGGATCTGCCTGAGAGATTTGATCGTGGATTGATGGGTTGTCATTACCACATAGTCATTGAAACTTGATCGCTTATTGTCTTGCGGACGAGCTTCGGCATCATCCACTTTGTCAGAGGCTGTCGCTTCGCTGGCTACCAGCGTGTCCATCTTGATCGCTGCCATGGCGATTCGGAGAGAAATAGCACAGCCCAGCCAAGGCAGAAACACGGACAAGACGCGCTTTGGTGCAATAGTCTTTGAAAATATTCAAGAATTAGATGGAAAGATGGAACACAAAGGAATGTCGGCTCAAGTAGGCCAATAATTTGACCTAGAAGAGGTCCCTGAGGTGTTGAATGAGCTCCCAAGCAGAAACCAACACAATGTCAAACTTTTTGAAGGGAAGCCATGGCTTCTTAGCCACTGTCCCCTTTCGGTTCGGTCGTCAAAAGGCACTGTTTGCGTCCGAAACTACTGCATTACCTCTGCTTTCTGGCGGCATCACGGACGACGCGAGATTCCGATGCTGCCAAGAATCTCTTCGATTTCCGCTATAGCTAAAAT